AGGAAGGGTCTATGCAGATCCCGTCGATGGCAGAGTGCGGGTTTCGTACCAAGTCAGCAAGTTTGACAGGCAAAACATCATGCAAGGTATTTTGGCCCTGGCCAAGATCCAATACATTGAAGGTGCCGAAGAAATCTTCACAACCATACCTGGGCTGAGGTCATTTGTTCGGGACCCATCAGCGCCGTTGGGGGACGGCATCAACAACGCAGGATTCCAGGCATGGCTCGCAGAGGTCGAGGCCAAGGGCTTCCAGTCGCCCGAAAGTATGTTTGTGTCTGCACATCAGATGGGAACGTGTCGCATGAGTGCGCAAGAATGGGAGGGTGTTGTCGACCCCCAGGGCAGAGTTTGGGGCACGGAGGGGTTATACGTGGCCGACGCCAGTGTTTTCCCCAGTGCGAGTGGGGTTAATCCTATGGTAACGAACATGGCTATTAGCGATTGGATCAGTAGGGGCATTGCAAAGGGTCTGGAAGAGCGTCCCCGCCTGTAAGAAGATGCATCGTATTCGAAATGCGTAATGGAGAGAAGCGCATCATGTTCTTGATAGCATTTGATGGGATTTGCAGGTGGCCAAGGACGGAAGGATTTGCGCCACCCTTCTCTGCGTCTACACAGCCTTCCTGGCGGCCTTATGGGAGGACTGGCGTCAGCATGCAATGGGCCAGGTTTCACGGGTAGACAGACGCTAGGTTACCGTGAGGCACACAGTTGGTGATGTCGCCACAAGCAGTAGACTATTCACGGCCTAAGCACATGGCTGACGCGCCCATATGATTGGCGGGCGACGGCGCTGCAGCCATGCCCCGTGCGGGCAGGACAAGCGTGCCAGGCCTGTGACATCACCAGTCGACAGACTGTGGGGTTGATTGGGTTTACAGTGTGTTCGTCTGCAACCTTTCGACCTGCTCGCCCATCTGATCTCCAGCCTTTGCTGCCGCTATGAGCCTAGGGCTGCACCCTTGGACCCTGACTGCGCCTGAAACACAGGCACCCGAAACAGCGTCTTTCGGCCTGCTACTCGATGGACCACTGAGGCAGACGTATATGCTCGAGTCCCTCTTTATAGAGTCGGGCGCACCACGCCTGTGCCCCAAGCAGGGTTGACCTAGAATACTTGAGCTTGAAGACGACGACAACTGCCGCGCACGCCTTGCCTGTGCAATTGTGACGCAGCCTTCCCCAGAATACAAACTATACCCGCATCCTTCGCCCGACCAACTTCGCACTTTGCCACAACCCCCAACGCCACATTACCACACACACACACACACACGCACCCGACTGCAAATCCATTGTCTATACCACCATGACCAGCGTACTAAAGGGCGGCTTCGGCTCGCCAAACAGTGCGCCGCTGGGAGGCCCCAATCTGGGCACAGAGTTTGTCAACACCATTTGCCCGCTCAAGGGCGCCCTCGACGGCTACGACAACTCCCTGCCATGCAGCAGGCAGACCATCTCGGTCCCCGCCAAATTTCGCGATGCCATGGCTGTCCGCGAGGTCGTCTTTGGAGAGCAGGGCGTTCCGCTCGAAGCCGAGTTCGACGAGGACGATGCCCGCAGCTGGCACTGGGTTGCCTACGCCTCGGTCGCTACCCACTCGACATCACCACCCAAGGTGCTGCGCCGTGCTGACTCGGCCAACACGCCTGCCGATGATGCCCGCCGCGCATCTGCTACTGCTACGCGCGTGCCAGTTGCGACGATCCGACTGATTCCCCCGCCCCACGGCCCGAACAAGTACGTCCAACACCACGAAACAGACAAGCATCCCGACGCAGATCCCCCAACCCACGACCAGGAGCACAAACAGCCAGCGGAGCCGTATATCAAGCTTGGCAGGCTCGCTGTACTTGCTCCCTACCGCAGTCTCGGTCTTGCGAAGCTGCTCATCAACGCCGCGCTCGACTACGCCACAGCGAACCCCGACTTGATCTACCGTCCCCCGTCTCCCACCGCATTGGAAATGGCCCAAATACTCGGCCACCAAAAGGAGAGGGAAATCACATGGCAGGGTCTTGTTATGATCCACGCACAAGCGAACCTACAGTCCATGTGGGAGAAGCACGGATTTCATGAGCAGCTCAGGAACGAAGACGGTCACGTCGAGATAGATGCCGAACCTCATTGGTTCGAAGAGGGCATTGAACATGTCGGCATGTGGAAGCGACTCCCAATCGAAAAGCGCAAGAGGCTCTCTCTATCCTCTTTGGAGTCTGCTTGAGCACATCGTGTCACGCACTTTTACCCATTTTTTTTCACATTTTTTGTTTTGCACGCTGTTCTTAGGCTCTGGTTCAGGGGATTTTTGCGTGTTTCGACAACAAGACTGGATACCCGCGTTCTTGAAGTTGGATTCTCCACACAGTTCCAGGGTGCCCTGGTCGAGAATCCTCTGTGTTGTGGAAATTACATTATACCCCATCCCCTTTGTCCAATTTTCACGACGACACGGCCGCATCTTTCACTTTATTTTGGTTTAGACGGCAAGAGCTGGAGTATTTTATTTTCAAAGAAAAAAGTTACAAGATAGGACGGTTAATGTTGTCTTGCAATAGAGTAGCAAAAAACCGACCATTTCGTCCTTTCCCTCGTCGTCCTCCTCCTCCCGCAGTGCCTGTTCTCTGTTTCTCTCTCTAGCGTCTTTTTTCAAACATACCCGGTCGTTGTAGGAATTTTTGACTTTGACCTACTCTTTCCAATCTAGTGAGCGGGAAAAATATGTGGGGTAAAGGAGTGAGTGAGGTACTACTAAGGAATCTACCCCAGTACCCCAGTATATTGGCTTGGCGCACCCTGTCAAGAGGCACGCCGTCTCTACGCACCAGGCAAAATGAATCACAGGCAACAGTCACATCGTCAAGTATCGCAAGGAATATTGTTCCACTGGTGCAGCCATGTGTTTGTCTTTGAGAAACATTTTGAACCAGCGCGCACGTGGTGACAGTCACACGACCATCGCGCACAAGTCCGTTTGCCATCATCAGATTCGATCACACCGCCGCTCTTAGCTCGGCATAATTGAAATTACACTCTCAATCGTGTAGACGAAATAGTCTACGCGCGGAGATTCAATAAAATATAAGTGACGCGTTGCGCTCCATGTTTCGGCCGACTAAACTTGACTTCACCCCTCGTCGCAACCCGTACTTTGCAAACACTGCTCGAACATTCATCATGGTGGCCTTTTTGGGAGTCACCTTTACTCTTGTGCTTGCTGTTATCTCTAGAAGCAGCCTTGCAGTTCAGATCCCTGGGGCAGACAACAACCACGGGTTCAAGGTTGCCGTCTCGCATTTTCCTCTAACAGACACCACACGCAAGGATCCATACTTTTCCACAGAAGACCGCCGCGTCATGGTCAGCCTGTTCATGCCTATCCCTAGAGACTCTTGCTCGAGCGAGTGTCAGAACAGCTACATGCCACCACAGACTGCTCGAATTGCCAATGAGCAGTTCATTGTTGGCGGACAGCGTGACATTGGTGTCTTTGAAGACATGACCTACAACGCCTGCTGCAAGAGCTCAGCATCCATCGATGCCAGCAAGATTCCCGTCGTGGTATTAGAGCCACACGTCGACACGAGCCGATTACTGTACTCAACCATGGCCCGCTTCATCGCCGCCAACGGAGCCGCAGTCGTCCTAGTCGACCACCCCGGCGACGCCTCCATTGTCGAATTCCCCAACAACGGCCGACGCGCCCTCGACACCGTCTACAACAGCGGCACCGTCTCGCTCTCCAACTTCTCCCCTCTAACCGCCTGGAACACCACCGTCACAAAAGCCATCGACACCCGCATCGCCGACATCCAATTCGTGCTCTCCCAACTTGACTCGGCCGCGCTCCTCCAGCGCCAGTTCAGCTCCTTCACCTTCTCCTCCAGCACCGGTCTACGCACCACAAACTACGGCATCGTCGGCCACGGCCTCGGCGGCTCCGTCGCCACCTCGCTCGGCCTCACGCCCGCCCCGCTCTTCAGCATCAACCTCCAGGGCACCCCGCCCCTCCTCTCCTCCCCCGTCCGCAACAACCCCCTCTTCTTCTTCGGCCGCCAGGACTACCGCCGCGAAAACGACATCCACTGGGCCACCACATGGTCCTACCTCACCGGCCCCGCTACCGAGTTCGACCTCAACGACTCGGCCATCTTCGACGTCTCTGACCTCCCCATTATCGTCGAGCTGGCCCGCAATCAGGGTGGCAAGCCCGCCACGACCGGCCGCGGGCTTAGCGGCGGGTTTCCTGTTCAGGGTGCCCAGGCGGTGACGTGTTTTGTCGAGACGATTGTTAAGCCGCAGTTTGGGTTGGATTCCGGCGGCGTGCTGATGAATGATTGTATGAGGTTTTTTCCGGGCGTGGTGCCGTATCCGGGTGTTTGAAAGGGGAAAGGGGTTGAGATGTACATAGGTTAGTGTTGTTTGGGTGGGGAGGTTGGGATGGCAAGGGTTTTTTCTTCTTCTTGCATTTTTTTACTTGGTTAGGAGGCATTGCGATGGGCTGGATTGGGCTACGGAAGATACCCCGTTTTGCATGATTGGCGTTGGGAATAGATGTGTAGGGGGTCCGTTTTTTTTTGGGCCCTTATTTTGGGGTTTCTATATAGAAGCAGGGCGAGTGGGGTTACTTTGAATGAAGACTCATGATGTAACTTCCACATACCTTCTTACATCGTTATGTACCCTATCCAAAATGCGTCTTGTCTATGTGTATTTGTTACCGCACTGCTGTTTCCGGTGCACAGTACCGTGACCCCGCCCTTTTCTTGAACGGAAAGAAGGGGTGAAATTCGATACAAAGATACCATGGTTCGTTGTTGACTCCATGTATATATATCATCTCTTTCTTCTTCTCTCGCATCTTCATCTCCTACCAAACCTCTAGTAGCCTCGAGCACCTCTACATACAACAGATCTGGTCAAAGTGCGTCGTCATTCTTTCTATCCTCACCCCAAACTAACTGTTCCTAGTACGCCTAAATTCACAATTCAAAATGCATCCCTCAACCCTTCTCACTACCACTGCTCTTGCCGCCGCCGTAATGGCCGCCCCAGTGCGTGACGCATTGACACCCGATGCTGTGGCTCTGGCGGAAAGTAAGAGACAGTTGCTTTATCCGGTGGAGCTTTGTACAGAGAGTGGATGCGGGGCCCCCCGTGTTGGTGCGTATAATGAGAAGAAGCACCATGTTCATGACGATGAGCACCATGAGGAGGAACATCATGAGGAGGAGAAGGAGCACCACGAGGCCGAAGAAGAGCATGAGGAGCATGGGGAGCATGAGCATCATGAGGAGGAACACCACGAAGAGGAGCACCATGAAGATGAGGACACTAAGAAGCACCACCACGAGTCCAAAAAGCTCATGCCAAGGCACGATTTTTATGGGCCAGAGCTCAAGAGCCTCGAGACGAGAAACGATTACCACGGGTACGAGCTCAAGAAGCTTGAGACGAGGAGGCGAAAGGGCGTGGTTTGCACCATCTTGTAGTGGTCCCTTTTGAGACTTGCCCCCCCTTTTTTCCCCCAGCCCCATCCAGATAATAAGTGTTACAGTTTCTTTAATAGCTAAAACAAAAAAAATGAAAAAAAAAATTGAAAAATTTGTCGACTTTCTCTTTATAATCTAGTTATCAGATGGCCCAAAAGCACTGAACCCTCACTTTTTTATTTTATTCAATTCCTTCCACATCTTAGATGACTTTTTCTTGTGAGCGCGGCCAAGAAATTCCAGTGAAAGCAAACAAAAAACAACAACAACACACTTCTATCCATGACTCCTCTTAACCTCCCACATCCTCTCCACACTAATTGTCCTGGGCGGCACCCCCCCGTTCGCCATCGTCTTCCCCCTCTCCTCCTTCCCCCTCTCCTCATCCGACGAGATGCAAACCCGCTGTATGCCCTCGACCGGCCTAAGTTCAATCTGCGACGAATTGTTCGTCTGATGATCCACGAGTTCGGAAAACGTGGCCGTGGGATCCAGGCCGTGCGATAATGCGCTGCTTCCACCCCCTCTTTTCGACAGGAAGCTGATGTGCTTGCCGTTACTACTGCCGTATCGGTACCCGGAGTCGAGGTTGTGGCGCGATTTGACGAAGAGAGGTCGCAGTAAGGGGATGCAGGCGAGTACGATGGCGACGGCGGGTTCGAGGCCCGAGAGGAGGGTCGCGAGGATGCCGCTGTAGGTCATGTCTGCAAGGTCGAGGTGGGGGATGAGGGTTTGGCGGTAGATGATTATGGCCCAGGTACTATTATTTTTTTTTCTCCATGTTAGCGTGTTGGTACATATGTGAAAGGGAGAGAATAAGGGGTAAGAGAGAGGGAAGTTATATACCCTATTCCGATGCTGAGGAGGCCCATGGCGAGAAGTTTTTTGCGCATTGGCATTGCGAGTTTGTAGAGATATGGCATGGGCATTCCGATGAGGAGGGCGTCGGTGACTAGATTGATGACGCCCATTGCAAAGTAGAAATCCGGTCGACTTCCGCATGTGCCGGGTACGGTAATGTCCCAGTTTCGCGCCAGTGGGCGGCAGATGAGGAATGCGGTCATGATGTCTGCGAGACACCATACTACGATGAAGGCACCGAAAGCGACGCTCATTCGTATCATGGTGGGTGTGGGGATCAAGGCCGAGTACATGAGTAAGACGGAGAGTTTGCTGAAGCAGACGGTTGCGTTCCAGAGCATGGTGAAGGTCATGAGTCCCTGTAGCTCAATAGGTTAGATATATAAATCAATAGAGAGAGCATATCTAACAATGAAAAATACCTTGAAGAAGTACGTAACCGTCCCCGGTCCAAACCGCTGCATGACTTCCGCAAGATGGAATCCAAACCCGCCATGCGTAACCAGCGAAATGCAAGTCCCATGCAAAGCCGCATTCCACAACTATATCAAAGAAACGTTAACGCCCAAACAACCAACCCAGTATCTCTCCATGGTAGCATAAAACTCACACAAGCGACAACGATACACCAATCGCTTCCATCAACACGATTCCGTATCCTCTTAGCCGCAAGCCTCAAGCCCACCGCGATAACCGCAATTGAAATCGATATCGAACTCGCAATCACAATGCTCAATTGCCGCCCATTCTCAATAGGAATTGTTCTATGCATCATGCATAGTAAAGAGAAGTAGGTTAGTGAAGGGAAAGGGGGGGAAGCAAGCACCAGCGCCAGCGCAACCGTCTGCACTCCTTCCGCTAACAAAACAATACTACTCAATAACCAAACAAAAAAAAAAGGTTGTACGTAAAGTATTCAAAAACAGGTAGTGAGAAAGTCCAAGGCAACGGACTTTGTAATAATATCTAAGTCCCCAGAAAAGACTACTCTAGGGTACAAACCTCATCTATTACTTTTAACTACATCCCTTCCGCTTCCCCCCCCCAGCGTGCCGTGCCCTCTGACGATTCGTTAGAAAAAGCCTAATACTAGTCCCGGCCCTATGGTATCTCCCCGCCGCCTGACTCTACCTGCCTCTCCTAACACAGACCCCTCTCCCTCAAAAAAGGAAAGAAACATCTCGCATATCAGCATGCGTCCCCGCCCCATTCAAGCTTTGTTCGCGCGGCAACAGCCCAAGGGAATAGAAAGCGCTGCGAGGAAACGAAACGGATCTGCAAGAAGGGGGGTTGGGTTGGGTTGGGTTAGATTGGACGATGGAAAAGAAAACCCGCGTGCCTTGGATTTTCTGTGTTGGGGGGACCGAGTTCGAAAGATTGATAGGTTGCATGAGATAGATGTGCTAGCGATCGGAGGGAGTGATACAAAGGTCCGATAGGGGTGGGGAAAGAGAGAGAGAGAGAGAGTCCGGCCGTTGGGTAGTGTGTGTAAGCGTGAGACAGAAACGCGAGCGGGTTGATTTGCTTACAGCGCAAGCACCTTGTATTCCCACGTGGCACGGGTTCTGTCTTTGTTACGGATTGTGCTTGGATAAGTAAGGGTTCGTCCTGGTTTGCTGTTTTTTTCTTTGTAGGAATGTGTTTGTTGAGGCGGCGTGGTTGCGGCACAAAAGGACAATAGTAGTAACTACGTATGTACTTGCTCGGCGTGTGGGGCTTAGCTTCATCCTTTCACCCTTTGTTTTTCTTATGCCCAACGCAACGTTCGCGCATATCTGACCCGGCCCGCTATGCGCACACCGCTAACGACACGCAGATCGTTGCATACTGAGTATGGAGCGGGTGGGAATGATTCTTTGTGGACTTCGGGTTTCCCTTTTCTTACATATGCGTTCGGATTGGGCCAGTAAGCTGCAGTACTTACCGCTGCTCTGATGTAATCTCATTTTCTTAGCGAAACAATCATGGATGGATGCAACTCCTCATTTGCAACGCGTGTGCTGTACTGTGCCGCAATCACCTGATGCAATTGTTGATTCGCGACTCTTGGTTAGTTTTTGTGATAAGCGACTCGGTCGAATAACTTCGCGATTCCTTCCTTGTCAGCGTCAATCAGCGACCGGGCCAGGGACGTCCGACTCGACTTGTGGACATCGGGGTTCAGTCTTCCGCAAATTGTAGTACCCTCACGCGTCCCAGTTGCATGACTTGTGTATTTGGCAGGTTTGCCGTCCATGCTCCGTCTAAAGTATTTTACTAGCTCAATAACACTCTTCTAACTTCTTAGTATAGACGGGATTGCTCGTGCAAAGTCAATTGAGAGTGAACCGCGTCGGTTCTACATCGGTGATGGGCATGGGCGTACATGTGTCAGGCTTGTCTGTACACGCAGGTACCAGACAAACGGTCCGATGGAAGAGAAGGGACCATGCAGGCCAGATCCTGCGACCGCGACGTTTTGTTCTGCCATCGAGAGAAATGTAGGCTAGTCGGCAAGCGGTGGGTCCTCTTTTAAGTTCCGCGGAGGATTCAATCCATACAGTGAAATAGAAAAGGATCCAACAAAGTGGGATTTCACGTGCACACATCTACCCAGAGCGGTGGTAACTTCTTATTTTTCTGCGAGCATAAGGTGATAGTTTCCACAATATTTATTCCAGGAAACCCTTGAGGAAGCAAGTGCTGCATAATGGTTCGGGTGTCGAATGAACAAAGGGTCGCCATTGTTACCGGTGCCACGGTTCGTCGTATGATAATTCTTGAGATCGCGATGCGTATACTAACAAATGACAGAGTGGTATCGGTTCATGGCTGGCAGCACATCTTCATCGCAATGGCTACCGCGTAGCCATCTGCGGTAGACGGGAGAAGGAGGGCCAGGCAGTTGTCCGTTCGCTCGACGCATCCGAAAACACATCAATGTTTGTCCAGTGCGATGTGAGCTCCTACTCCTCACAATCCAACCTCTTTCAATCAGTGTGGAAAAGGTGGGGTCGACTTGATGTACTGATTTCCAACGCCGGGTGTGTAGATCGAGGCTCCGTTTACAACTTTGCACGCCGCGATGCGGCCATTGATGATTTGCCCGCGGAGCCCAACACCACCTGCACTGACATTGATTTGAAAGGAACGATATATGGAACTACACTGGCAACTCACTTTATGCGGCATAATCCGGGGGGAAAGGGAGGCAAGATCGTAGTGACTGGCAGCATGATTGGTATATATCCTTGCCAAACCTTTCCCGAGTACTGCGCTGCAAAGGCCGCAGTCCATCAGTGGGTCAAGACGGTGGGACCGATCCTGCAGGTCAAGGAAAACATTACTGTCAACTGCGTGATGCCTGGTGGTATCGAGACACCTGCCATGCCTGGCTTTAGCAAAGCCTTCCGCCCGGAACAGATGACGTTGCAATCGACGTTAATAGCTGGTTTTGATTCCTTCCTCAGTGATGTGGAGAATACCAAGACTGGCCAGCTGATCGAAGCTGCACACGATGAAATCATTGATTGGGGCCATCCAGGATACAAGAGCGGAGCATTCGCAAAGCGCACTGAAGCTGTCTTTGAGCCATGGTTCGAGATGATGCATGGAGAAACAAGCGGACTGCCGGGCACGATCCCGGACTGGCCTGACCCAAAGGTCAAAATCATTGCAGTGACAGGCGCTACCGGAAGCCAGGGTGGCGGCGTAGTAAACATTATGAAGAAGACAGCTGGCTGGAAGGTCCGCGCGGTTACACGAAATCCTGACAGCGAGGCCGCCAAAAAGCTCGCAAAAGAAGGTATAGAGGTGGTAAAGGCCGACTTTGACGATGAGGCCTCTCTCCGTGCTGCGTTCGACGGCGTACATGCCGTCTTCGCAGTCACCAACTGGTGGGAATCGCTTTTCCGGGGTAAGACGCAACACGAATGCGGCCAAATCGAAGAGCGCCATGGAATGAATCTAGCACGGGCTGCTGCGTCGTCTCGTACAGTAGAGCACTACATCTGGTCGACATGTCCGAGTGCAAAGCGCCGGTTCTGGGGCAAGATGGAAGTCCCGCATATGGACTACAAGGCGAATGTCGATGCTCGCATCAAAGCCGAGCTCCCTCAACTCGCGGCTATAACGACGTATCTGTACTTTGGGTATTACCCGCAAAACATGGCTTTCTTCCCCATGTGCAAGCCTATTGAATATGCAAGTTACTTTGCAAACCCCGACCTTGTATGCTCGAGATACTGACATGATGGACAGCCAGACACAGGCCGCTGGGTTCAAGCCGTCCCCTCAAAGCCAGATGCCAAAGTCCTTCTTGCCGGTGACATGAGCGTTAACCCCGGCATCTGGGTACGGCAAGTCCTGGCCACAGGAAGCAAAGCATTCGGCCGCTGCGCCAATGTTGCATTAGAAAAGTGGACATTCCAACAAATGGTGGATGTCTGGTCCGAGGTAACAGGCAAAGACTGCGTCTATGCTGAGATCAGCCCAGAAACCGCTGCCCATCTGCACGGCCTGGTGGGTGTAGAGCTGTCATTGCAGTTCAAGTACGGCGAGGCGTGTGATCCGTGGGAGGTAACAGATGAATTCATCAGCCCCGAGGAGCTCGGCATTGATCCCAAGGAAGTCGTGGGGTTCAGAGGAACGATCCAAGGATTGAAGGATGCCGGTTTCTGGGCTTGATGTCGGCTTGGCGGCCGACGGCCCAGGTATCGAAGCCACTTTCTTGTCCCTATTATGTTACAGAAATATCTTAGAAGAATACTCTTTTCCCCTCATTTAGGCGTTCACATCTGACCCACGTGTCTTAGATCCTGTGTGTCGTGACGTTTCTTTAGTGTAACTGATTTTAAGGCCTCCCGATACTACATAGATGGCGCTAAGCCCATCTTTGGTGTGGTTCCGCTGATCGGGACACGGACTCTTGTACGCAGCTGTCAGACTTGAGGGCGATTGGTACAGAGTCGGATAGTCAGCATAGCGGAAAATCATATCCTCTTGTTCTGTTACATCGGTCACATTACTATGCCTCCGACCGATGAACCGATTCCTTACCGAAGCACCGATTCCTCATTGCTTACACTGTGGTTCAGCCACCAACGCTCATCGTCTTCACTTTGTCTAGAAGGTAGTTTGTGGGGTGACGGGCCGGCCCACCACTAGAGTTGTAAAGCGTCTAATGTATGGTACCGAGGACTAGAAATGACGCTCAACATATCTGCTAGTAGAGACCGTTCACGACCCACTGGCGTTGGTGGCTGTACATGTGAAGATGCTGTGAATCCACATGTGGCCCTCGCAGCTTGTGTAATGCGTTGATTTTACCGAATTTAGTTACTCTATGGTATGTTTGTCACTGCTAGTACAGGATGCTGCCAAGTTGCGAGAAGGTCGCTAGAACAGAATGTGCATGCGGGATTTTATGTATGTGATGGCGCCCTCTGGTAGGAGAGAAGTGCCAAGCCAGAGTAGCAAAAGAGCACATAAAGAGCATGAGCTCCGTCAATAGATTTAGTCCACAGCACACAGAATCATCAGATAGATCCAACAGAGTCACTTTGCAACCGTCACCATGAAGTTCGCCGCTCAACTCTTCACCGTCGCTGCTCTCTTGGGCGCTACGCTCGCCGCTCCCGCTGGTATGCCAGCCTTATTCTCAAAACACCTGTAGAATACAGTACTCCAGGGCTCACTGACACTCCCCTTCAGCTGACTCCAACACCATTGAAGTTCGTGACGCGCTCACCAACGAGGTTATGGAGGGTATGGTATGTTGAGCCTCTACTCCCACCGATAGCAATGCAGGATCCAAGAACACTACTGACTCCAATAGACTATTGACAAACGCCAAGTATGTTACTGCTACGGAGGATTCTGTACTCCTGGGTGCCACGACAAGGTCAAGCGCCAGGTTTGCTACTGCTACGGAGGCGTGTGCACCCCTGGATGCCACTAAGCAGACAGCATGAATGAGACATGATTTTATGAGAAACTACCTAAACATATCCATTTATCTGATATCAGACAAAAAAGCCCTGTCTCCCGTACTTCTAGCCGAGTATTGATGATAGTTACTATATTGTCTGCAACTATGCGCAAGTATCCTTATGCATCACAGGACTTTACCCCTCCAAAGTCATCACCACAATAACCATCATAATCACAGCCAGAACTCTCATCGGGAACAACACCCTCATCGCCACTGTTTAAGCTGATCCGGCTTTTTGACTTGAGACACGCCATGATTCCCCATTTGACCCTTCTCAATCCAAAAATCCAACGTCTTGCTCTCCTCCCCCCTCCATACAACCTCATTTCTCCCGAGTGACAGATACCCTACCTCCTGCGTCTCTTCAACTCGCCTCTCCGTCGCCACCTTCACGATTTCCTTCCACTCCTCTCCCTTCTCCTCCCATAACATTTTTCTAAGCTCAGGAAGATACTCCACACGCCCCCCACAATGCTTCTTAATCTCCTTTTTGATAGGGCGCTCTTCAAACACCTTATCCGACCCTCCCAACTCCGGCTTGATTAGCTTTTCCCCAGCCTCTTTGGCACTCGTCCACTCCCACTTTTGGAAGCATCTCCCGAGTGTTTCCATCTGCGGCCGCGTCTGCTCAAAACATTCATCAAGACTGATAAGGTAGTCCCGTGGGAGCCATACGTCCCGCGCCGCACACTCCATAAGCTGTATATCCTGCACACCCTGCAGCGCTATTGTCTACTGTACAAATAGCGCAGCTGAGGCATTGCGGGCGTCGAAAAAGACTTTGGGAATAGCTGCGTCTTCAAAGATAGATTTCAAAGTCTGGGTTTGGGTGTTGGGAGTTATGAATGCGGGAGCGCGTTGGGCGCTGGGAGTAGTGAATGCAATTGTACCTAGTTGGAGTATGTCGACGAGGTAGTAGGTTGATGAGGAAAGGAGCGTAAGGAGAGAGATGGGGCCTACACGGTTGAGGTTTACGCCTTGCACATCGATGTATAGGGGTGAGTTGGGGATGTCTAGGTCTCGCAGCTGTTTGTATTGACGGGTAAGCAGGTTGACTAGGTATTGGATATCGGCTGGCGAGTCGATAATCTCGTATGTAGCAGTTGACATGGTGAACAATGGATGGAGTGAACACTTGTGAAATTCTGCGAACCGAAGCGAAGATTTGTACGACTGGGACTGATAGAAGTGAGTAGTCTGAGGTAGAAGAGGGGTTCACTGACCGGTTGGCGAATGTTGTATAACCACATGCCTGATTTTCGATGTGGCACGGTTGGACTACTACGCTTGCGGCGATGGCCAAGCATCAGCCCAAATAATCGTTGACAATATCCTGAATTATTGATTTAGAATTTCCGAAGTATTCGACACATATGCTGCCATTCAAGGTTTTAATTAGACAAAAAGAAGGGATCAACAATCGTCATATTACATGTCAGACATGCTCAGTTGCAATATACAGTATTGTACATGACTACACACATACCACAGCTTTCACGCTCAATCACTCAGTCCGTTCACTGTGCACCTCCTTCTCTTCATCCCTCTTCGTGGCCTCGTACCTCTTGCCGCGGAAAGAGTATACTCCCCAGTTGCTGCACGTGACATCGTGAGGGTCAAGATCGTTGAGATCCCAACGCAAGCTTCGGAACAGATTCTCGCCGGGCTCAAGCAGCATATCCATCTCATTACCGAACCTCTTGTTCAAAAATTCGACATCTTGCTGCATATCCCATGGACTGTAGCCGGTTGCAATGATCGGAACCTTGGTCTCGAGGAGAAGCGGTAGCGTTTCTTCCCACTCGTGGGCTGAGGCAGGGTTGCCGAAACCTGGATGGAAGACTACGAAACAGTCAAAGTAGGGGTCGTAGGGGTAGAAGTAGCCCGTCTTATGGATGTTGTGATAATATTCAACAAAAGTGCTGATCTTCATGGCATTGCTGATGCGGTCTTCGATTACAGCGCCAAAGGGATTTAGGGGCGTGCGCTCGGGGAGGGGCAGTTCTTTCTCGCGGTTCGCCATGCTCTCGGGTCCGATGAAATTCAAAGAGAACTGAACACGGTGGAAGAGATAGGCAAGTTGCATCCATGTTTCGCGGGGTAGGGAGGATTCTGCGCGTGCGCCGAGAATGAAGAGGCGGACAGAGGGTGGAGCGATACGTGCATTCTTCCAAGTGTCACCACCACCTGTTCGGGGTGGGTGAAGCGTATGCCGGAGTGCTGTGTTCATGTCAGTACTGCATAACCAAAGAAAAATGAGTACACACATACCGCTAAAGCTCTTCAATCCCTCTGGTGTCATGCGTCCATTCTTCCGGATATTATAGGGACTCAACTCATTCAGAATGCTGGCAATGGTCATGGGATATGTCAGAAGCTTTGTCGCCTGCCTCATCTCACGGTCCTCATTGAGCGCATCAAAGTCACGAGTGTACAGGTACGTGTCCCAGCTCGTCATGTTGACCAAAATCTCCTCCATCTGGGGCTCAGCGAATTGGAACTCGCGGAAGAAACGCCCACTCCGCAGATCGTGGTCATCCTCGTTAATCTGCCTCAGCACATCGCAGACTTCCAGATGTGCCTCGTAATCGTCTGCCCAATGTTCTTCGCAACAGTATACCGGAATGCCGCAGTCTGGACACTCGAAATCTACGTGCGCAGGGGGGGTACCCGTCTCAGAGGACTTCCGGGCTTCGAGATCCATAGGGTTGTTGATGGCACGTGTAGGCTGGTGCGAAGGATGCGGGCAATAGGCATGCTGGCGCATGAAAGCTGCGCGCTTCCGTATTTGCGGGATAGGCGAGTTGGAGAACGAATTGAAGAGATTCTCCTCGGTCAGAACCCTCGTCCGGCGAATTCCCTCAGGGTCAATGTATTCATATGGCTCGAACGGCTTTTCGAATGCTCGCTGCGGGGTCGTAGAGAGGCTGCGCTTTGGCAGGGCTAGTTTTGGCGGTGCTGGACTCTTGGTGAAGTGACTTCGTGATGTTGCCGCATTCTGGGCCAACGGACGGAGGGCTTGCGGAGAGCGCAGTGAAGCTCGTGGTGTCTTCAACTGTGAAAGACACTGTCTGCACGTGTACGGCGTCCTCATCTTTGCTATTCCGGCTTCAATTGAGGGCGCAGAAGCTGTGATGATCATGGAATCATCGTTCACCAAACTTAGCGCCGCTCGGGCAATCGAACCGCCGATTGGCTGGAATTGCCCCTCCAACCGCAACACCCTCACTCAACACCACCACCATTGTTTCCGCACAGCCTGTTCATATCATGGCATGATAGACGAGCTTCTCGAGTTCGGATGCTTGCAGCCAACATCCCATATCAAATTCAATACATATAAGTGGATAGAATACGTCAAAGATGCAGGACATTGCGGACATTGTGTTCAGTTTGGTAATACTTCCGGGATCAACAGGCATTGATACAGCGACTGGAAACAAGGTCGACTCAGAAGAGCATCCACGTCACGCCATGTTGCCTCTGCAGATGAACAACAGCTAAGTTTTCTTGAAGTAAAAGTGAAAATATGCCAGCAGCCCCAAACATTGTATGAAGACTTGCAGCGCCGCGGCAGTAGTAAAGGAATGAGCAATGGCTCTTCCACCCCATCTCGGCAAGGAACTTGCCTAGCAACTAAACGAGCTACAAAATTCCGGAAGGACTGCTCAATGCGGGAAAATCCTTGGAGATCAACGAGCATCTGGTTGTATACTTGAGGGATCGCAGCTATAAAACAAGTACTCCTTCCTGTTCTGACACCCTATCACGTCTCGTGGCCAATAGGCGCCCGTATTGTCGGTAACTATGGGGCAAATCGACTAATTCCATTCGCGGAGAATCTACGTACATGGCGATCACCAAAAGAAAACCAATACCCGTCCCCACAAACAAAGCGGGGAGAGCACAAGGTCCATGAACATTTATGTAGAGCCCCATCGCTTTGTGAAGAATGCGTGCTTGCTAGGAGCCGTGGGCAATCTCAACATTTCACAATGCTACTAAAATCGCTATTCCCGCCATTGATATCTGCACTTATACATGGCACCAGCGCTAAGTTGATATGGTCCACTTCACCTGCCAATACCAGCGACGTCATCCGAACCGCTTTACCTGTCGGCAATGGACGACTAGCTGCTATGCCAATCGGCCCTCCCTCTGCTGAAACTCTTACGCTGAATCTCGACAGCTTGTGGTCAGGGGGTCCCTTCGAAGCATCTGTAAGTCTAGCACTATACGCTTAGACATGTGTAGACTAAATATGGTCCAAGAACTACACTGGTGGTAACCCTCAATCATCAATTGATTCCGCGTTACCCGGAATTCGAGACTGGATCTTCACCAATGGCACCGGCAATGTGACAAAGTTACTTGGAACTAACGACAACTATGGATCATACCGAGTCCTGGCCAATCTCACTGTAGCTATCCCGTCCCTTGTTGGAAGTCAAGTTTCCAACTACACGCGCAAACTGGATTTGGCAAATGGCCTCCATTCGACTTCTTTCAACACCAATGACACTCAGCTTGAAACTACAGTTTTTTGCTCTTACCCGGACCAAATTTGTGTCTACACGGTTCAGTCGTCCGGAAGCCTGCCAGCTTTCGAGCTAAAATTGGGTAATGAACTGGTTGATGCCAAACTTGAAAACAAAACCTGTGTTGCCAATGGTACTGGAGCGGACTCTGGCCATTTGAGGCTGCGAGGTGTGACCCAACTAGGTCCGCCAGAAGGAATGCTGTACGATACAATTGCGCGCTTGTTACCCAATTCCGATGTAAAGGCAACTTGTGATAGCAACACTGGAATTCTGACGGTTACACCTGGGGATGGAGCAAAGAGCGCTACGGTTATCATAGGGGCCGAGACGAATTACGATATGAAGAAAGGCACCGCGGAGCACCAATACTCATTTCGAGGAAATGACCCAGGCCCAGTAGTTGAAGAGACGATACGAAAAGCATCCACGAAAACTCTCGAGGAACTGAAGAGCAGCCATCTAGAAGACTTTACATCCCTCACAGGTCGCTTCGAGTTTCTTCTTCCCGACCCCCTGAACTCAGCTCAGGTTCCAACACCGGAGCTGATGGCGAGTTATGACTCCAACGTTACTTCAGGTGACCCATTTGTCGAAAACTTGCTCTTTGACTATGCACAATACTTGTTGATTTCCAGCTCGCGACCAGGCTCTCTACCGACCAATCTACAGGGGCGATGGACTGAACAGATGGCGCCCGACTGGTCTGCCGACTACCACGCCAATATCAATCTGCAAATGAATTATTGGACTGCCGACCAAACAGGCTTGACAGAAACTCAGACGCCACTGTGGGACTACATGATAAACACGTGGGTCCCACGAGGCCACGAAACAGCCATGCTACTATACGGCGCACCAGGCTGGGTCGTCCACAACGAAATGAACATTTTCGGACATACAGCTATGAAGGATGGAGAAGGCTGGGCCAACTATCCCGCCGCCCCAGCATGGATGATGCTACACGTCTTCGACTACTGGGACTACACCCGCGACACGACCTGGCTGCGCACACAAGGCTACCCACTCATCAGAAGCGTTGCTCAGTTCTGGCTCTCCCAACTCCACGCTGACTCCTTCACCAACGACAACACCCTCGTCGTAAACCCCTGCAGCAGTCCCGAACATGGTCCCACAACTTTCGGCTGCGCTCACTACCAACAACTCATCCACCAAGTCTTTGAAGCGGTCCTGACCACGCACTCCCTCGTCGGCGAATCCGACACTGAATTTACCTCCAATGTCTCCTCGACGCTCTCCCGCCTCGATAAAGGCTTCCATGTGGGATCGTGGTCCCAAATTAAAGAGTGGAAACTCCCAGACTCCTTTGGTTACGAATTCCAAAACGATACCCACCGCCACATCTCCGAACTCGTAGGCTGGCACCCCGGATACTCCCTCTCCTCTTTCCTCGGCGGCTACTCAAACACCACAGTGCAATCTGCCGTCCGCAACAAACTCATCAGCCGCGGCATCGGCAACGGGCCCGATGCAAACTCCGGCTGGGAAAAAGTATGGCGCGGTGCGTGCTGGGCACGGTTGAATGATACGGCACAAGCGCATTTGGAGCTCAGATATGCAATTGAGCAAAATTTCGTAGGCAATGGATTTAGTATGTATAAAGGGGAGCGCACCCCATTCCAGATTGATGCGAATTATGGGTATGGAGGGTTGGTGTTGAGTATGCTTGTTGTAGATTTGCCGGCGCCGGCTGAGGGGCTGGAGGGGAAGAGGAGGGTTGTGCTTGGTCCGGCTATTCCTGAGAGTTGGAAGGGTGGGAAAGTTAAGGGGTTGAGGATTCGAGGTGGAGGTGTTGTGGATTTTGGGTGGGATGATGGGGGCGTTGTTAGGGAAGTGACTGTTGTGGAGGACGTGGGGGATGTAGTGTTTGTTAACAAGGAGGGGGATGTGCTGAGTGCGTCTTGAGAACTATGGGGAGATACGAAGGGTGTGGGATATGAATAGTAGGATGGTTCAATGGATACTTTGATATAGTAACGCTCAGAATTTTAAAGACACAACTCCTGTTCGGTATTACTTTGAGAAATCACAATTCGGACAATCGAACGGAGTGAAGCGAGCACCTGTTTGTTGAAGTCGCAATAAAAATGATCGGAGATAAAAAAACGTTATTGAATACTTCCGGACATACAGCAAGTCGAACTCCAAGTCAATAGCTTGTTAGTGATTTGAAGAGGAAGTAGCGGTAGCCAGCAGGGAGATGGTAGCCCATTCAGTATAATCTCGACCAAAATGCGAAATGAGGACAATCTAACTCCACACACCTACCAATACATTTCCAGTTCAACAAATAGGTGCAAAATAAAGTCATCGACTCCATCAAATCACTCCCTGTCCTCCATAACTCACGGCCAACTCCAAATCCTATAATCCTTTACTCCCTACCCACACCAGCACTATCCACATGTCTCCTCGGCACATGATTATCCCTCGCATCCCACACGCTCCAAAAAACCATCTTATACGCCACCACCGCAAAGAACCCCCCAATACACGCACCGCACGCCACATCAACAGGATGCTGCCATCCGTCTCTCAGTTTGGACAACGAGAGCACAACAGCAACCCACAGCGGAGTGGAAAAAACTATGAGCTTCCAATGCGAAACGGCAGTAAAGTATTGATCTGAGAGAGTCTTAAAACTGCCTTTGGGGTTGTGAAGGGCAGTCTCTGCAGCTACGTTGTGGCGTTTGGTGTCGTGGTGAGATTGCCCAAGTGTCTTGTAGTGTGCGCTGAGCCAAAGCGTGAGAAACACGAAGCCAGCGAATGCGGAGGAGGCGTGGCTGGCTGGAAAGCTTTTTTGCGCTTCATTAAGGGATAATTTGTCGGTGTTGGTGCAAAGCTGGTCGACTGTGCTGTATTGTATGTAAGACGGCATGGGGGGAACTGACGCAGTAGTAGTAGGCTCAGGAAGGTAGGTTGTTGGTCTGCATATCGCGTAGAAATTGGGTCGGAGGCCGCCGATGAGGACTTTGATAATGCACGAGAATAAGGTCGAAGTTGAGAGGGCGTAGCTGAGGCCTGTGAACTAGGGTTTTGGGATTCCAACGTCAGCCGAGATGGAACTTTCTTCAATATTAGGGACTGTTGTAGGGATAGGGAGCAGGAAAATACTTACCGATGCGTCCCAATTATAGTAGTCTCTGAGCACCCACAGATTCATGACGAGCATTATGCTGCTAGGAACGAGAAACGAGATGGCTGCCATCATGATCGTGTCGATATACTCTTCTCGCAGTGGCTGTGAGTATTTCAGGCCAATGGGATGGGTCTCTACGCCCTCGAAGTAAGGGAAGTTATAAGGGATTAGCGGTGGACAAAATCTCCAGAGAATAATTGATATGATGACGCAAAGAGTTTCTGTGAGTACATTGAGCCAGCTGTCACGGCAGATTTGGCGGAACGAAGGGGTATTGTAGTAGCCTGGCCTTAGCCAGTGGTGCTTTCCAGGGGTAAGCATGATGAGCTTTTGGTTGTCTTTGAGAATAAATTGCGAATTTTCAAAATTAAGTGAGGTTACTTGAGACATAAAGGAATTTTGGAAAGGGAAGTGTTCACGGTGTTCTCTTTTCAAATTTCCGGACCCTGTTGAAGAACTGATGATGCAAGCACCCTGCGAGACCCTTTTGACAAAACCAACAGATACGGACATCGTACATAGCGTGGTAAATGGGTCTCCACATCAGGATCTTACAAACACCACTATCTCCGCCAATACTAACCCAACATGGGATTCTCTAACATTTAGCAGCCCAGATACCATTGGCATCAGTATTCGTAACGTAATCACCATCCTTCTTACACGAATTATCGCTCTTTAAACAGGTGAAATTCTAGTAACAGTAAGTTAAAATTATAAATAGCATCAGGCTGAATAACTTCCTGTACTACATTCTACGCGTAAAGCACCCGGACAACATTCTTGTAACTTTTTGTTGCAACGCTAAGTAAAGGCTTGATCATAAAAGGAAAAAAAATCGGTAGAGAGGCCATAAGTCAGCAGCGGCAAAAGCGAGAAGGCTTAGGAAAAATAGAGTAACAAAATTCTGTGCGAGGACCATGCAGGCCAGGGTGGAGAGTAAGAGCTACACTGTGTATATATTACGAGCTATACAATGCAGAGTCGTAATTACTAATAGCGTATTATTCTTCTATGGCAAATTATCCAAAGAAAGCCTCATTATCCTTTTGGCGTCTCTACAGCATAAAACGTGTGCTACATAGCACAGTACATACATGAGTTATGATTCGGCAGTATGTCATCAGTAGCATCGATGACCCCTGTTGGCAAAAGATCTCGAGTTACCTTCGTCTTACTGAGCGATGGGACTGTAAGTGGAGCGTTTTCAATTGTGGTTCAGATGATGATAGGAGTTCAAAGGGTTTAGATGGGAATACTTTTATACAGACATGCCATTGCTTTAGAAGTGGTAGAGCGACACTATCAGGGTATCTGATATCTTCCAGCTTATATTTAATTAGAGTTTTCTTCTGATCAGTGCAACCCTGCTGCTAGCTTTCCTCTATTATCTAGGATTAGGGATTCTGTAACGATACCCGGCTCAGCGCCACCTAGACCACCAAGTGCCCGAAAAAGTACAGTACACTGCATTAGCAATACCTGGAGCTGGAGAGCTATATACGTATGACAGGTTCGGCTCTACCAGCAACACAATAATATCCGACTTAATCGCCGACAAACTTTCTAATACCATAAAGTGTAACGAGTCGGATCCTATCGGATCTTGCAGGCAATTGCGCCGAAAAAAAGGATGGCACAAAATTTCAGACCCGCTGATGCCAGACCTGGTGGTGTGTCGGCATGTCAGCGCATCCAGCATGTCACGGATAGTCCAAAGTTTTGGAAGACAAAGTGTCACTCTACACGCTGTGTCCCGGCACGTAGAGGTATACGTTACGCTATCTATTTCCTACCATACTGTCATCAGTATTGAGTCGAGTTCCGTCACGTACTCATGGTTGGTACATTGTTTTCCGCCCCTTATAAACGCCAATTATTCGTGTTTCACACTGCCCGACAAACCTGTACTCAGGCAACAACAACATGAATATAACTCCTAATATCCGCTTACCAGGTTGTAGAGACCTGGGGATACTCCTTCTTGGTAATCTTGAGGTCATCGTAGACTGAATCGTCACCTGATGATCGGTTAGCACCTGCGTTGTCAAACATCTAACAGAGAACTCACCATGAAGATGCTCGACCCGAAGCTCATCTTCATGCTCGAGCTTCTCAATCTCTTCGAGTGGCGTTTCCTTATCGTGCTTCTGATCCTTCGTGGTAGGCTTGACGCCTGATTCCAGCTTCTCGCCAATAAGTAGAATCTGACAGTACTCATAGTCCAGATACTTCGGCTTCGCCTCGACCCAAGCTAGTCCACGGAACTCTTCGATAAATCTGTCCCATGATCAGTATGTGGTGATTTCACAATGTCAAGCTCGCTCACTCTTGAGGGAAACTGGGTTTTTGAGGGAGCTGGGCCTGGGCAGGTCCACTCCGCTCAGGGTTCTTGACGCTGATGATGAAACTGCCCTGATTCCTGATACCCAGATCATCTTGTACCTCACCGAGCTTTGAAGGGATAGTAGTAGAATAGACAAGATGACATGTACGGTCCTCAGTACGTGTGATTGCGTACACACCCTCAGCCACTGGAGCAACGGGCTCAACGCGCCGAGTGCCCTGTGTCTTTGTATTGTACTCTTCCGCACTGAAGAATTCCTCCTTCAGCTCCTTTATCGTAACGTTTGCTTTCTCCACAAAAGCCATGAAACGGTCATTATGCGACTTTGGGAAAACCTTCTTTGGAAGCGCAAACAGACGATTGTTGTTGTCATCCGCAAGCGGGCCATCACCGAGTTTGGCACCGACTGGCATAGGTCGAAGGACGAAGAATGTCCGCTGTAGATCACCCACGCTTTCAGATTCTTCAATGCCGACGCGGTTGCGAGTGAAAAAGTAGATGACGCCTTTTTCAAGTACGTTCGACGGAACCTGCTTTGCACGCTGGGATGATTTCTCGATCGCGCCCTCTCCATCGGCGACTGATTCTTTTGTAGTATTGTGCGAATCGTTTTCTTCTTCGTCCCGTGTCGTTGTATGCACTTTTGACTGAGTGTTGGAATCGTTGCCACCCTGTTTCTCGGTATCAGACGGCTTTGCATTGTCGTCGTTGGACAACGCCTGCTCATCACTGGCGTCAGCAAGGTCCTCATCGACCCTTTCCTCAAATTTGTCTGTTTGTTTCACATTCTTGCCGTCGTCTGAAGCGTCTTTCATCTCCTCATCCTTTTCTTTGCTTGATCCCATCGTCTCCTCGAGAGTAGTCTGCTTCTTCGCTGCTTTAGTTTCGCGCTTGGGCGACGGCTCGACATCGTGCTTCCTCTTGGTGCCAGCTGCGACATCGCTGCTTTTCGCGGGGCTGGACATGTTACTTGAATTGTGTGTAAGAAAGCGTGTTGCAGACAAATGTGCTGATATTGGTCAATTTAGTAGAATGTAGAGAATTTGTCGATGAAAAGTTGAACAGTGAAGAATGGCAAAGAAATAAGGGTACGGGCAGACGATTGCGCTGGAAGTTTGTGGCAGGCGCGTCGCGTGTGTAGTGACGTCAATGGCAGTATTTGGCACATCAACGCGTCAGGAAGGCACGTGCAGCAATAGCTGCCAGAACAAAGTTGCAATCAATAATCTTAGTCGTCATAAGAATGAAACGTGCGAATGCGAGTGCGATTGCCTACAGCAAACATGGCCTGTAGCGCCTCTGATAAAGCACGAAAACACACAACAACCTATTTATTTTACACAGGGTGTTGACCAGGAACAGTGCTTTCTTCAACCACGCTTCTCAAGAAAATCTTTAATACCCTCTGCTACACCCTCTGGGGTTGGCTTTTCTGCACACACATCGGGAGTAAAACCAAATTGCTGTATAAGGTAGTCGCGAGTAGTCGGGCCGATGGTGGCTATGAGTATGTTCCTCTGTTCGGTAGACGCTTTTGCTCTACCAGTCTCAGCATCCAAGAGATCCAGGCTCTCGAGCATCGCCTGGCATCCGCTTGGGGAGAATACAACGATCCATTGACGTTCAAAACCCCTCTTGGTGTTGTCTTTCCAAATGGCCGAAAAGTCCTCCTTGAATGACTGCATCTCCCCGGTCTCGTATATAACCAATTCGTCTACTTTTGCCCTGGTGTTCGGCTCCAGCTCTGCCGACTGGAGTGTCTTTGGTATTATATCCCTTCTCTTATCTCCGACCATGAACAGAACAGGTGGGTTGGGAGTATCTGTATACAAGGCGTTATAATGTTGAAGGATAAAGCCAGCTAAGGCTTCACCATTGCCAGTTTCTTCACCTAGGATCGGGCATTTAAGTCCTAACGCTCGCAGTCCGCGCGCGGTAGCCGGGCCTACGACATAGAGTGGCAGGCTCTCTGGAAGCAGGTCGTCAACCCGGTAGGTTTCTTGGCTGCGAATTTCTTGGATGACCTCGGTGAACGCCTCAACGGCCCGCTGCGAGGTAAATATCAGGGCGCCGTATGTCGCAAGGCCTTGTTGCGATTTGGGCACCAAGCCTCGGCTGGTGACATGCTCGCGTACCTCGCGCAGGGCGTCTCGCTTGAACCTGTGCTCCAGCACTGGCACAAAAACGGGAGCGTAGCGGCCATTGTCGAGGCCAAGGAACAGCTCTTCGTACGTGTCCATGGGTACCGACTTCGTTTTGAGCAACAAGATGGGGACACGGCCCCGCGATTGCTCCGCCATCCCGTAGTTTGGTGGGTGAGGTTCGAGGCCCCCGGTGAATGTTCGATGGATGGAGAATGCGGCACTAGCCCATCCGCTAAAATTCGGGAAAAGTTGCCAACCTTCCGCGGTTCACTCGAGACCCTCGATTTTAATAGTTGTCCTCCCCACCGCTCTTACTGTCCACCCTCACCCTTTGGTGGTCAACGCAACTCGCGCAGACTCTCCTCTACCGTCGCACTCCGTCAGTCAACTCGTCAACCCAATTGACTGCATAGCAGACATGGCCGACGTTGCAACTCCCCCCGCCGCCCAGAAGGCCACCGCCAATGGCTCTGCCCCGCAAGGCAAGCAGCAGATCGTCAAGCCGGACAAGCCTGACGAGGAGAAGTACAAGGAGGAACTTGCCAAACTTGAGAAGGAGCACGCTGTGGCTCAGGAGAAGCTGGTAAGTAGATCGAGTATTGATGGGCCGTCGGGTACCTGCATCACATGCAGATATAAGGGTCTGACAACCAGTACTAACCATTGCTAGAACGCCTGCAAGGCTAAGCTCGACAATGCAAAGCCGAACAACAAGGACTCGCCCAATGCCAAACGTCAGCAGGAGCTCAAGACCGAGCTCAACGCTATCCGCCAGACACAGCAAGGGAACAAGTCTGGCCGCAATGCCATTTTCGAGAAGATCAAGAAGCTCGACGACCAGCTTAAGCAGCAGTTGGCCGAACTCAAGACTGCAAAGGGAAAGTCGAACTACAAGTCTGTCGAGGAGGTTGACCAGGAAATCGCACGTCTGCAGAAGCAAGTCGACGGTGGCATGATGAAGCTGGTTGATGAGAAGAAGGCCCTCGCCGAGATCAGCGCCCTTAACAAGGCCCGCAAGAACTTTTCTGGCTTCGACGCTCAGCAGAAGAAGATTGACGACATCAAGGCCCAGATCGCTGAGCAGAAGAAGCTCCTGGACGACCCCGAGAACAAGGCCCTGAGCGACAAGTACACCAAGCTCCAGACTGAGCTGGATGCTCTCAAGGCCGAGCAAGACGAGGCCTTCAAGAACCTGCGAACGCTTCGTGAGCAGACGGACAAGGCGCGCGCTGAGCAGCAAGAGAAGTACCAGGCACGAAAGGATCTCAAGGATGCATACTTCCAGCAGCTGCGCGCATACAAGACGTACGAGTCCGAGGCTCGCAAGATTCGCTTTGAGAAGAGGCGTCAAGAGCAACTCCAGTATGTTGCAAGCAAGCGCAAGGAGGCTGCCAGCAAGCGTCTCGAAGAGGCCAGCACACCTGCTTACGGTGACGAGATCATTGCTGCCGAAGGCTTGATCCGTCACTTTGACCCATCCGCTCTCCCACCCAAGGAGACCACTGCGGCAAGCAAGTTTGCTGCTTCCGCTCAACGCACTGTCGACGAGTCTGGCTTGAAGGGCACTCGCATCTCGAAGAAGGATACCGAAGAAGAGAGCTACTTTGTCGGCACTGGCGGAAAGAAGGGCAAAAAGGGCAAGAAGGGCGGCGCCAGCTCTGCTCCCGCCAAGTTCAACCTCAACATTGGCATCATTGAGGAATTGGCCAAGGTTGGCGTTGAGGCTCCCTCGAGCCAAGAAGATGTTCCTGCCACTGTCGAGAAGCTCAAGGCCAAGCTCGCGCACTGGAAAGAAGACCAAGACCGCAAGACCAAAGAGGTAAATCTGCCTGCGAGTTTCATTGCTGTCACAGAGCTAACGTAGACTACAGAACATTGCCAAGGCACAAAAGGAAATTGAGCGTCTTGAAGCAGAAGAGGCAGAGGAAGAGGCTAGCGGTAGCACTGACGCTGCCCGCAAACCTGCCCAGAAGAATCAGGCGGTTAACGGTAATGCATCTGCAGAGGCTGAACTGGCTCAAGAGAAGGATGCCGCCGCCGATGCTGCCGAAGACCTCAAGAAGGCGTCGCTCGAGGACAAGGATGCCGCCGCTGACCCATAGAGCACACAAAGTGCCGCCTGTCATGAGGGATCTAGACCCTCCAAAAAAAGGGTGACATATCCGAGACATCTGTATAGTCTGGGATCTAGCCCGATTCTTTCTTTTTAGCTTGTGGTCGGGACATTCTCCGCTGTTGTTTATGGGATACCAGCATGGCATTGGACGGGGTCACGGCGTGGGGTACGGTACTTTCCTTCTAGACGCACGGCAGATCTAGATGGTCAATACCATTATCTGATATTCTCAAGCTCACGCTAAATGATGCGGCTCGCAGTTAGTTGGACTGATCGCCGGTGTGATGTTCAAGCCCACGTTTCTTTTTAGCTTACTGCTCCTGTCGTACCTGAACCATTACTAAGAGACATGACGCAACCATTGATCATTTGGGTAAGCCCAGCATTGTTTCGCAAAAGCAGATCCGGTTAACTGTCTAATTGTTCCTCCCCACCTAGCAGCGGGGTGGGCAAACGCGACAGGACCATGTGACGTCACCACGGCGTTGTCACTACATAGTCGTGCCCTCTCGTGGATCTCTCCTGCACCACACCACCTGCTCCCAATAGTCCTCTACTCAGGTATGATTGCATCTCGCTATCTTCATCGTTGTGCTGCACCAGCTGCACGAAGACTACCACGAACGTTGTGTTTACAGAAGCTGACGCCTTCCTTGCAGCTACCCAAATCACTCACCTCTCAACGCGTCTTCTCCAACACTACCTTGAACATGTCTGGTTTCAGCAACGCGGATACTGGCTCCAAGACCGCCGACCCCTACACTCAGAAGAACCTCGAAGAACCTTCTCTGAAGGAGAAGGTCGAGGATCTGCTCAGCTTCGTTGACAAGACCAAGTTCTGCCTCTTGACCACGCAAGTTGCTGACAGCGATCTTCTGGCCTCGAGAGCAATGGCACTAGCTGCCAAGGTAAGCACCAAGGAGTATCCATTGATGTGGCACCGCTAACGAATGCACAGGAAGGACACGGCTTTGATCTCCTCTTCCACACCAATACTGAGTCTGGCAAGACGGACGACCTGAAAGAACACGCGTCGGTCAACATTGGCTTCATCAACAACTCCGGAGAATGGGCATCCATCTCTGGCCATGCATCCATCGAGACTGATCGCGAGGTTGTCCGCAAGCACTACTCGCCAGCGCTCAAGGCCTGGATCGGCGACCTCGGCGACGGTAAGCACGACGGTGGTCCAGAAGACCCACGCATTGGCATCATCCGTGTCAAGGCCAGCACTGCTCAATACGCCATATCCAAGAGGACCCAAGTCGGTGGGCTTATTGAACTGGCCAAGGGTATCGCAAGCGGCGAGTCACCAAACGTGAACAAGCTAAGGCAAATTTCCGAGGCGGAAATCCAGCAGTACAGGTCTCAATAGACGTGGTGAAAGTTTAGTGGATTGGTGTTTCTATGGTCTATGTAATTACAAAAATGCCTCGATACATTTACGATCGATATAATGAATGCAAAGTTGCGGCCGCCCAGACTTGATTGCGATGGTGGCACAAGTGTCAAAGTGATGCAGTGACGAACATGACGTCATATGGACGCGTCTTCACATGGAAAAGCACGTCAAAGGTTGCGCGATGTATGTACATAAAGCAGCCGCCTTCCGACAAGCACGCAATGCGCGTATTCACTCGGCACACCGATCGACGACATGGAAGACCCAGGTTTGTTCCAATTCCTAGGTCTGTAGCTCTTGCTGACGTGAAATCGCCAGTCAAGGAAATTCCGGCGGTGATCCATCTCCTCACGCAATCACCGCCCTCTCTACAACGCGCAACGATTGAGAAGTATTTCACGCCAGACGCCGCTTTCTCCCATCCATTCTGTCGAACATGGAGCGGGCCAAACTCTCGATGGCTGGTCAATGCGACCTACCGTTGGTACAAGATCATGAGCCCGAGAATTGATCTGACGGTGCAGAGTGTCGGTATGTTGCGTCGTGTTGTCCATACGGTTTACACGGAACTAGGCACTAATTCCCATTGGTAGCATTCGACGAAGCGAACCTGACGCTCTATGTGACAATCTTCCAGATTTTCCGCATCTGGGCAGTGCCCTTTTACTACGCGCCGGTCCGTCTGACCACGGTTCTCAGCCTGCGCCACTCGCCTTCTACGGACAAATACCTGATTGAGAAACAAGACGATCTTTACCAAGTAGATCAATGGATACGCTTCATCGCACCCGGGGGCTGGATGCTGATATGGATTTGGCAAGCCTGGGCTACGCTGTTTTGCGTGCTAGGAACATGGCTGCTGTGGCCAGTAACATGGGTTGAGGAGAACTGGGGTTGGGGCGAGGGTATAGGTATGGAGAGAAATAGGGAGATGAGAAAGGCTGGGAAGAAGGGCGAGATTAGGAGGGATGGGCTGACCAAGGAGGAAGTGCTGCAGATGACGACGTTGAGAGGCAAGGTTCTTGGGTGATTGGTGGAAGTAGCTAAATTGTCGCAATCTCTACTGACCGGTTGCTATCACACCCGTCACGGTATTTCGATATGTCTCGTTGGGGTATTTTCGTTGTCTCGGGAACTAAGCGACCACGAGCAATGTATGACCAAAATGAAACGCTGTACTTTTCAAAGAGAATCCGCATCACGACCGGAACATGACAGGCCAGCGGGACGGAGCTGTCCGGCTGCCTCCTTTGCATGCTAGCTATCCGCTGCTTCTAATTCGCGCCACATCAAGCCACAGCGAGCCATTGTGCGTACTTGCAAGGGTAGATAAGCTGATAAGAATAGAGCAGCTTATTATGGCGAGTATAATAATGAAACAGACCCCAGCGTCGGACACAGCTGCCTCGGTATGTGTACATGGTTGAGTATTTCAGGTCACGAAGTTGAAACGAAGCAAAAATGGATGCATAACTTCCATGTCATCAGATCTGCTCGCCTTGGAGATGCGAGACTTTGGGCGTAATCTTGAGGGTTTGAGGCGTGGGGCCAAGCAAGGGCAGGGATCCCCAGCTCGGAAACGGAGCAGCTGTGCGGCTTGGCCATCCACTGGCAGCGGTAGAACCATACTGTTCGTGTGCGAATCCCGGTGTTTGTTGACGTGGCCTTGAGGGGCTTGTTGCATGCTCTTGGGTTGCCAGAAAAAAAGATGGCATACTATGTACGCACACCGATGACTGGCCGGCTGGGCTGGACGGGTGCATCATCAGAATGCGCGTCGATCGATTTAGCAGAAGGGAGGAAGCGCAGTTGAAGAGACGGCTCCGGGCAATAGGGCCCACGTGGTGGGGACAAGTCGCTTGACGGCCTCTATCCACCACTATTGGGCAGCACCGCGCACTTCCGCTCCACACCGGAAAGACGTCCTGCTTGCTCTGCATGTGCAAGGCGGTGACTGTCCGGCTCAAATATTTTTCATAGTGGCCTCGTCCAGCCTCGAGTGCACTCTCCTCGTCTTCCGCATACCACAAACAGCCATGGTCATGGCACACACAAGCTGCAACGAGCCACCGGCGTCGACCCGTACCACTATAGAGACCGTTTGCTTAGTTTACCAGTCTCAGTTCCCTTTGTCACACGACATGTGCTACTGATCCCTCCAGCATGCAAGGACTCGCATACTGCTCTGCTGCCCACTGTGCCATCCCCTCTTCGGCAGGTTTTTGCCCACCAGGCCGTTGTCAAAAAATATCAGATACATTACCCCGAGCGCTGCCTTTAGCTGGCGGCAGCTGACCCTCGCAAGCACTACGTATCATGGTGCGTTGATAACGAAACAATGCCTTTGCGAGCCGACTCTCTGATGGCCGTTGAGACTGACCTGAATTGTGCTGTCTTGTAGTCGGACCGGGCCTCACCACCCGAGGGCGCTCAGTCCCCTTCACGGCATCGCAACCCCACCACAGACGATCCCCAATATCACTACGACAGCCTCCAAGAAAAAGAAGTCGGTGTGGCTGCTAGTGGACCCCACATTCGACGCAGACCATCCCGGACCACTTCGGGCACCAAAGGCTCCCCGCCCTCTTCCTCCCTGTCTTACAGCGAGGACCAAAACGAAGACGACAAAAAGAACAAAGCAGCCCGCACCACTCTCAAGAAGCTTTTGAGACGCGACTCACACCAGGGTGAATTGTCACCTGCGCCGCGCGGCGGGCAAGAAGAGTTGGACGAAGAGGCAAGTACCGTGGGATATATACCCAGACTCGGCCAAATACGAGAGAAAAAGACCACCATGCAATCAAGACGTCGAGGGAGTTCCATTGTCAGCTCTACAGGTCAGCCCAGAGCGCTTCGTCGGCGACACACAGAAGACAGTGCTGCAGGTCGCTCACGCGTACAACGTAAACATAGCTCTCTCCATCGCCACGGTGGGAAGCTTGCCGAACTGTCCGAACCATCATCGGCCTCGAGCGTGTCACAGCAATCGAGCAACTCTAGTGGAAGTAACTCAACGGTAACGCAGAAATCCCGGGAGGACGACGGCTACCCATACCGATACGAGATGGCTACGGAGAGGCAAAGTCCTACCAGTTCCATGATGAGTGCCGCTGAATCAGATGTCTTCAAGTATCTCCAGCCAGACAATGACACCGACAATTCCACGCCTGCATACCTGCAGGGCTTCGTTCCGTCGATCAGTGCTCCTTCCTTTTTGCCCTCCCCGCCTCTGAATGACTCCAACTCGAGCGATAAGCGCCCATCCGCAGCAGGAACAGATTCCAATGGATTGGATATCAGCCCACGAACATTAGCACAAAATTCCAGCCCAATGGTGCCTCAGCTACCTCATCAAGAGTTTCGCAAGTTCAAGAAGCCGCTATATGCTAGTAGCTTTGTGCATGGGCCTAGGGATGAAGACGAAGAGACGGTAGCCCAGAGCGGAGATAGTGAAGGCAGTTGCACAGAAAGTGAAGAAGAGGCCCAGCCCAGCAGTGAGTCGTCTAAAAAGTCTAAAAAGGTTACAAATAAGGTTTCTCCACCTCGGGCGCCATCTACATCATCCCGCGGTAGCGACCTTCATGCCAGACGTCTAAAGCAACAGGAGCGAGAGCTAGCCAATCACATATTGAAGAACCCCAAACCACAAAAGGGTTTCCAATTCAATGGGGGTACACCCGGCCAGGTTTATCCGCCTACGCCCATGTACAGTCCGCAGGTATACTCGGGCGCATCTCCATCAGTTACAAGTAATGGTGCGGCAAACTCACCACAGGCCTGGTCACCTATGCACACATTTCCAGCCCCACTGGCCATTGGCTATGCGCCACACCAATCCCCAGAAGCTGTTCACGCATATCCACACAGCCTGGTCAAACAAATCCCACAGCCATTCTCACCTCATCCAGGCCAAGCACAACCTTATCAGCAACACGGCCCGGCATCTGCTCAGACCAAGCCGGCTCTGACAGGCTATGAGCTTCTGGCGAACGAACTTAGTGCCCCCTCGCAAGGTGAGACAGCACGGGAAGTCAACCTCGTACCCGTGTACCGTAAGTTTGAGCACCTAAACCACCGGGTGCTATTGCACCTACAAGATGAGATGAGCGAACTGGAAGAAGAGCTGCGTACGCTGGACCGATGCATTGCGCAAATGTCGCCCAAAGATCCCTCAGGCCACGCGTATCCTGCGTCTCGACGAAACGACGCGCGGTACGGCGGCGAGTCACATTTCAAGAGAACCGAGCTGCTGGGTCGCATATTCCAGAAGCTGGAACAGTACAGTAAGTTGCAGTTGCATTTACGGGGATGTGTGCGTGTTACATGACGAAAATAAGCTTGTTACATTTTTAGTATGACAGGGTGAGGTACATGAGAGACAAGAGAAGAGAAAGATCGTCGCAAGCAAACTATTTTTATATGTATACGAAAGAAGGGGTTTCTCTCAGGGCCATTGCTAACTTGAATCGCAGACAAAGCTCTATCCTCTTTCAGCGATGTGTCGAGCAAGCTCCGGCCAGCCGGGGAAGACGATGTGGGGCGATACCGCGAGTGGATGGATGAGCACGAGCCGATTGATTATGCAGAGAGTCGGTTTTTGGAGCGCGCGTCTGACCTTGTCACTGTGCCGCGCTCGGCGGTGGCGGCTACTACTTCGACGACGGCGACAATGGCAGCGGCGGGCGAACAAGGGGCTGGGCATCATCAGTCAGCAGCCGTGTGGTTCCCGCTGATATTGGCGGTGCCTCTGCTGGCGTTTACTATAGTGCCGAGCCTACTGGGGCGTCTGGTCGTTATCGTGCTTATCGTCGGTGTGGAGCTCAAAATCGTCTCTTCGGCACCCGAGATACAGCGTTTCTTGTCGCTTCAGGAGTGGAAGGCTGCAGCATTGGTGTAAGTGGTTTTTTCCTCTCTCTTCCTTACTTTTTTCCCTCTTCACAAAAACCCATCGGAGTACCCTACGTACACGGCCCATCGTACGGCATGCAAATGATGTCGTCACATGTCGACATGGGGACAAGGGCTACATGGACCCAAGGTTCGCGGGGAGTTTTATTTTTTTTCGCCCAACGTCCGCACGAACCACAGCCTGGTGCCAGAAACCCAATCTTGTCTGCCAGCCCCCCTTGCTCGCAACCCCAAACCCAACGGGAGATTCCATATTCGATAAAGACGGGGTGTGTATGTGCGTACATGCGCCTGGAAAATTGGCAGAACCAGACATGCGGAAAATGCGTCTTTGCCTATCTTTTTATCCGGTGGAAACAGTTTGCATACAACACACACACACACAAACGTATATATGTATATGCAAGAATACGCGCAAGCGCGTGCGTTGCGCGTATATACTACATGCTATATTTCCCCCCACACCCACGGTCGTCCGAACCGTTCCCTGAGGGCGTTGCCGTAGGCCCCAAGAAAAAGGGAAATCAAAAGAGGTCGCCAAGAAAGAAAAACAACCTCCACAACAACAAAGATCAAGAAAGGTTCAAAGGCTAACGCAAAAGGCGCAAAACACAGTTATTTCGGGCTGAATGTGCTCCTTGCGGCCGTGGTGCGTTGACACGCGCCTGACTCGCTGGCACATCTTTTTTTTTTGGAATGGTGGTGGAATTTGGTGGCTAAGTTGCCCAAGAAAAAGGTGGAGTGGCAGTTTGGCGCAATGATCGCCCATGATCGGTTTTTTTTTTCCTTCTCTCTCTCTGTCTTTCTCGCGCTCTTGCGCTCTTTTGGGTTTTGCTTGCTTGCAGCTTGCCTAGGTGGGCTCGGGTGGGGGCGCACGGGCCCAGGTACAGGCTGTGTAAGCTGCATAGCAGTGCTGAGAACCACCCCCTCCACGAGCTTTTGGCACGCACGCACAACTTGGCTTGGTGCCTGTGCCCTTGCCCCATCCCCTCCCCCCTCCCCAGTCTGACCGAAGCAAGGCCAAGTGTGGAGTTGTTCCGATCACCGTTTGGGCTGGCACGTATTTTGTTTTGCGGTGGGCGTTCATGGCGTCATGGCTTGGTCGAATGCACGTTTATTTTTTACTTTCGTCCAAAAGTGCTGTTTTGTTATGACCCTTATGATTGTTATCCTGTTTTTGTTTTATCCGAATTTTTTTTTCATTTGCGCAGTTGACAGTTGGTCAGTACATACGCGTGTATACATACTATTGTCGGCAGAGGGCGGCACGTATTTGGCTTGATAGCGCTTATCAAAAAATGGAAGGCGGTGATTGGAGGCACCACAACGTCGCTTGGATTGGCTTTCGGGATCATTATTCCTTGAGTTTATCTCTAGACTGGATCCATGGTTCGCAAAAGGCTGCTTGCTTACCCAGGCCCCGCGATGCCGAGCTATAGACTACCTACATTAAGTACAGATGTATGCATGTTTTGATGGCGCGGCTCCGGCAATCGGGCAGGTTGACAGACAATGCTTGAGACGGATGTACATATGTGTGGCATGTACAGACATGGATGGCGGCGACACTACTGTATGTAGTCGGCACGTAGCGGGTTTGGTAGCTCGTGCCGCTGGTCGCAATCAAGTGGCGCAGTTGTATTGGTCACGGTAGTAGTGTGGTATGCGCTAGGCCATGACAGTCAGTCGGACGGCAGCTCTTGGTGTTGGTGCAAGACTTTTGTCGAGGAGGCGGTGGTAGTGGCACGCGCGTTTCTTCTTGATGAGATGTTAAGATGTGCATCGGACCGAAAAGATTGAATCAAGATGCTGGGTCGATCGGTGACAGCATGGCTTATCATCAGGTGTCACGACAAAGGTTCGGTATTTGTCGCGGATGCGGTCGGGACACAGGCAAGCAGGCAAGCAGGCAAGCAAGCAGGATGGTTTGGCGTCGGGTCATAGCGACGGGCCAGTAAGTAGGCTAGCTGGTGGTGGCATTTGGGTGTGGGAGGACGCATGCAGCGGCAGCGTGTGCGACGACCCTTGGAAGGCTGTCAGTCGGGGCGTCGTGGTAGCCACCTCCACAGATGGTGCCGCAGCATTGCCGTGGGCTGCACGCCAAAACAGGGCGCGTGTGGGTAAGCATGTTTCTCAGTCGGGCAATGCCTCAGATAGATGGATGAACCTGGGGCCGCAGACAAGAGGGCGCGTGAGACGGATCAGCGGCAGCGGTAGTATGTAAGTACTGGAAGTCAGTGTTTAGGTAGGAGTAGTGGGCGTGGCAGTCGGACAAAGTATGTATAGTAGCAGGTGCTAGGAGGAGCTGCAACAACAAACGTCGGCGCAGAGCCCACTTGTTCCTTGACAGCTGACGGACAGAGGCCGAAAGTCAAAATGACGGGCGAGGACGGTGGAGGGGGGCGGGTGGGGGTGCGGTAGTGCGGTAGTGCGGTAGCGCGGTAGTGCAGTAGTGCAGTAGTGCAGTAGTTGGTGATGAGGGTGTGTGGGCGCGCGCTCGCTAGTGCTGTTAGCCAGGAACGAGAGGCGTTGGCTGGAGAGGGCCTTGGCCTCTTTGGGCGCAGAGGGCCGGGGTTTAGGGGAAATTGAGCGCAGGTGACCAGAGTTTCAGAATGGCCCTGTTGTGTGCACAAGGGGCGTGCAGACGATGGATGCCCTGCCGCCATGGCCCCTTGTGAAGCTCTCCCTAGCTCCCAGACTTTGGCCTCAACAGTTGCGGCACCCACCCCAAAGAGAGCTCCTTGTCGTCCTGCTCGCTGCATCTTTTCTCTATATCCACAAGCGCCACCCCTTTGCCCGGCCGTCCCACTTTGCGCGTGCAGCAGCTGCGGCCTCGTGCATGCTCTCCACACGCCCTCGCCCTGGCCCACTTGTCATCACCCAGCCCATGCCGACTCGAGCGACTGAAACATCTGCTCCTTCCCGCCCATCCATCGCTCCTGCCCGCTGGCCTTGACCTGCAAAAGCCGCCCTGCAACACACACACACACACACACCAACTATCCGACCATCCTGCACACCCACTCCACCCACACATATTCACACACACACCCCTCCCCCCGACTCCCCACTCTGCACTCCACTCCACTCCACTCCACCCGCGCCATTCTCTTGTGTGCCTGCGTGTGCGCGCGCTTTCTCTCTCTCTCTCTCTCTTGCGACTCCCTCCACTCTCCTCTCACTCTCCCACACACACACACACACATACACACCCGCACTCTCACACACGCCACACGTCCCTGTTCACCCGTCGTCGGCCGCCTTCACACCCTCCTCGCTCCCAGCACCGCGCCGTCGCTATTCTGGAATGTCGCAGCTGCACCTCTGTCCACCACTCACCGTCTGAGCTCCCCCGCACCATTTCGCGTCTCGGGCTCCCTCGCCCTTCCATTCGCCAGCCGTCCACCGCCGCTTTCCAACGCCCATCTCACGTAAACTAGTACTCGCAGCCTGTTCCTCGCCGTTCCCCCCCTCTCTCCTCCGATAATTGTACCTTCGTCGCCCTTCGCTGCCACACCACTGCCTCCTACTTAATTAATCGCCGAGCCCTGCTGCCGCCGACTCGCTGGACGGGCCCTCCCGCTGCAATTCCACCGCAGACGCCGGCCCACGGCCTTGGACCAGCGTGGCGCACAAACAAAGCCTCCCCTTTGCTCCCACGCTTTTGCTATTTCGCTAGCGCCGCAACACACACCCTCCCTTTCTGGCCCTGACCGCACCCCAAACCCCCCCCCCCTCTCCCAGGCGACGCTCAGCATGGCAGTCTCCATGCTACATGCCCCCTCGCGGGCATCGACGTCGTCGTCATCGTCCTTCATACCCGTCTCGCGCCAGAACACAATGTCGTCGCACGATGGCTCGCGCTCGGTGCGCCAATCCAAGCGCTACTCGGTCACGGCGCTGTACCTGTCCATGTCAGCAAAAGACAAGGAGCTGGAGATTGAGGATGACCTTGCTCGAGGTATGTCTGCCATGTTCAAAGTCTTTTCGTCTGGGTTCGCCGGCTAACTCGTAGCAGCACAGAAAGTATTGCGCGAACTAAAGGCAAAGATTTCGTCCCAGTCCAAGAAGAACTTCGTTCTAGAAAAGGATGTGCGATATCTTGACTCGCGGATAGCACTCCTTATCCAGAACCGCATGGCGTTGGAGGAGGTACGTCTCTATGATTTTTTTTCTGTCCTGTACACTTGCTTGGTACTGACTATACGCGCAGCAAAACGAAGTTGCAGACCATCTCGCAGACGGTCTTGAACTCCAAGAAGGATTTTTCCCAAATGACGAAAAGACACAAAAATATGGCAACCTGCTATTTTTGCTCCAGTCCGAACCCCGGCACATTGCGCACCTGTGTCGCCTCGTCTCCATGGCCGAGATTGATGCGCTACTGCAGACAGTCATGTTCACAATTTACGGAAACCAGTATGAGAGCCGAGAAGAGCATTTGCTCTTGACCATGTTTCAGGTACGTTGCGCAACATGACTCTGGTAGATTATAACTAACCATGCTATAGTCTGTCCTTACATACCAGTTTGACAATACCCCAGACTATAGTTCGCTTCTGCGCGCAAACACCCCCGTGTCGCGCATGATGACCACGTACACCCGGAGAGGACCTGGTCAGAGCTACCTCAAGGTAGTACTGCAGGACAGCATCAACTCGCTTATTGAGCTCAAGGATCTGGACCTGGAAATCAACCCCCTCAAGGTCTACGAGAAAATGGTCACCGAACGCGAACTCCAAGGAACCCTGCCCCCGGATATGCCAAAGGGCGTCACGGCAGAGGAAGCTGCCGAGAACGAGACGGTGCAGAATATCATCCAACCTCGGGTAAACATGCTCATGGAGATTGCCAATAACTTCCTCACCACCATTATCAAAGGTCTCGAAGAGACGCCGTACGGCATCCGGTGGATTTGCAAGCAGATTCGAAGTTTGTCGAGACGAAAGTATCCCGACGCTCAGGATCAAACGATTTGCACGCTTATTGGTGGCTTCTTTTTCTTGCGTTTTATTAACCCTGCCATTGTCACTCCTAGATCCTACATGCTCATTGATGTCCTGCCGGCAGAGAACCCCAAGCGGACGCTTACCTACATTGCAAAGATGCTGCAGAATCTTGCAAACAAGCCGTCGTACGCAAAGGAACCGTACATGGTAAAATTGCAGCCTTTTATCCACCAAAACAAGGAGCGCATCAACAAGTTCTTGCTAGATCTGTGCGAAGTCCAGGATTTCTACGACACCCTGGAAATGGACAACTATGTTGCGTTGTCCAAGAAGGATCTCGAACTTTCCATTACGCTCAATGAAGTGTATGCAACACACTCGCTCTTGGAGCGACATGCAGCAGAACTCGTAAGCTTGAAATGGCTGTGGTAGCGGTTGTTAAGATGCTAATCGTTTACAGGCAAAAGAGGATAGCTCGCATTTGGGTGTGATTCTTCAAGAGCTGGGACCAGCGCCTGCTCAGCTTCCGCGAAAGGAGAACCGGGCCATCAATCTTCCATTGTTCAGCAAGTGGGAGACGCCGCTTGACGATCTCACAGCTGCGCTCGACATTACGCAAGAGGAGATTTTCTTCATGGAGGCCAAATCAACATTTGTCATGATTCTCCGTTCGCTGCCTGCAAACACATCAATCACGCGACGGCCATTGAGACTGGACAAGATTGCCGAAGCAGCCGCCACGACCAAGAACGATTCCGTCATGGTCAAGAAGGGCATCCGCAGCATGGAGCTCTTGAGCCAGTTGCAAGAATCTGGCGTGATTGACAAGGAAGACGGATTTTCTCTGCTCCGAGACGAAGTCGAACAAGAGCTTGTCCACCTGGGTTCGATGAAGGACAAGGTGATTGAGGAGACGAGGAAGCTTGAAGAGGTTTTCCGCACCATCCGCGACCACAATGGCTTCCTAGTCAGCCAGCTTGACACGTACAAGTCGTATCTCCACAACGTACGCAGTCAGTCTGAGGGCAAGACGAGGAAACAGCAAAAGCATCAAGTCCTGGGCCCGTACAAGTTCACTCACCAGCAGCTTGAACGAGAGGGTGTCATTCAGAAGAGCAATGTTCCGGAGAATAGGAGAGCCAACATTTACTTCAACTTCACGAGCCCGCTGCCGGGTACCTTTGTCATCTCGCTCCACTACAAGGGCCGCAACCGCGGTCTGCTGGAGCTGGATCTCAAGCTGGACGATCTGTTGGAGATGCAGAAAGATAACCAGGAGGACTTGGACCTGGAATACGTCCAGTTCAACGTGAGCAAGGTCCTGGTCCTCCTCAACAAGCGTTTCGCCCGAAAGAAGGGATGGTAGACTCGTCTTCTCCCCGGGCGACACATGTCACGAACCATGTACGATACCCCCGATTGCCACTACGTATTCCCCGCTGTTTGACGCCTCCCCACCCCCCAAACCAACCCCATCCTTATGCTCTCCTTTTCGCCCTCGTCGGAGTACATTTCCCCTGCCTACGAAACCATTGATCAGCATCTCGGCGCCGGAGTCCAGGAGTCAATTGTGCGCTTTTTGGAGGATACCCTCTGTGATGCTGACGCGTCGTGCCGTATCGTCGGCTTGGGCGGTTTTGATCAGCCACTTTGGTGTGGAGGGCCGCTGTAGTCTTTTTTTGTCATGTTTTGAAAGGGCGGCATTTGCAAGCAGCCTTGCGTGCGTGTTTTTTTCTTTCTTTCTCTCAGATTCCTACCTACACCTTCATAGTCTCTCGCTACTAATACGCATGTTGCACACGCTTCGTGGGATGGCACCGAAGGCAGTCCGGGTACCCGAAAGGAATATCTTCTTTTTTTTTTCATGTGAGTAGTGTTTGTGGAACTTGAGTCCATGGTTTGGGTTTCGGCAGGACCGACTTGATGGAAATTTTCTTGTTTTTATTTTGTTTTTTAATTGCGCGAGCGATATCCAGATGTACGATACGAAATACCATGGTGTCAGGCCAGCGTAGTTTGCAATGCGCTGTTGTTTAATGCAATTGAGCTGCAGGGCTCTTGTTTGTTAGTCGAGACGAGTGCGGTTGACAGATGGACGACGGGGTGACTCACCAAGTGTTAGATGGACATTGGCGTCGTCTTGCCGTCGGTCGATGCAGTGCCGGGGCCGATGACGGGCCATGGGGTGTCGACGGAGCTTGGATACAGGCTACGTCACCTAGCGGGCCACATGGCCGAGCGTGGCAGGGTGGTGTATAGGGCAGACACGAGGGTGCATGTTGGTGATAAGAGATAAGCATTGGAGCCAGACGTCCAGGATGAAGGTGCAGTGGCATGGCGCTACTGCTGCCCTGATGAGTGCGCTCCTCATGTGCTCCTCATGCACCACGCACGGGTGCCTGTCACACGTACACGCCTGCGCCGCCGCCGCTGCTGCTGCTGCCCCGGACCGATCGTCAGGCGGAAGCAAGGTGGTGCCGTCTGATTGGCCGTCCGCCACGTCTCATCGCCGTATGGTTGGCCGAGTCAGACACAAGGCTGCGTCGACTACCAAGTCGCTCCACACTCGTCCACCTTGCCTGTGCTTTCCTTCTTCCCTCTCTCACTCTCAACCACTCTCTCTCTCTCTCTCCATGATTGTGCGGATACTTTGGGCGTCTTTTTGCTAAAACAATTGCTACTGTCCCTTTTGATCGGGTGTTACGGCTATACATCTCGTCCTGCGACTGCTGCCATCCCCCAAACATGTCTTCGTCATCCAATGCTATTGCTATTCCCCGGCGCAAGGGCAAGCACCCTGCCGCCTCCCGGCACTCGGTCGACTCATCCTCGTCCTCGAGTGCTTCCACGCCCAGCACGCCCAGCTATGCTTCTCATTCCCGCAACTACCAGTTTACCCCGACTGAGAACCGCTTCTCCTATGGCTCTTACGGCAGCTCCGCTTCGTCGTCGCCGTCCAACAGCCCGCAGTCGGCGAGCAGCATGAGGCGGAGAGAGAGTCTGATGAGCGCGACATTCTCCAAGGCAGAGCATACGGTGATTAATATTGGGGAAGAGGAATGTCCTCGTTTGGTACGGGCCCGCATTCTGCGACTACAATCGTGTCGTGTTCCAAGCAGGACCAACAGCTAACACCCCGCAGATTACTTGTGTCAAGGCTAGCCAGGGATTCGATTGGAATCAAGGTACGTCGCTCTTCTCAGTACTACAGAAAAGGCGGCATCGAAGCAATTAGCTGTGCATGTGTTGCTAACTGCCTCCGTCTGTGTATCCAGAAATCTTCCTTCCCTCATACGCCGATTACCACTTTGATGACCTCGAGTGTCGCCAGGATCCTGTCCAGGATATCATACTCACAGAAGAGGAGGTCAAGAACATGTTTCCCTCATAAGCATGCTCTCTGCTCTCAGCTCCCAGCTGCACGGTAACTCGCAAGGCTGTGACAACAACACATACTGAGGTTTGAAGTTGCATAGTGAGGACGATAATTGGGTGGAATTGGTACATATATGTTCTGTCATTTTTTTTGACAGCGTGTTCTTGGGATTATGTTGACATGGGACTGGAATGGCGTTTGGCACTGTTGTAGGCGTTGTGGGTTGCATACTACATGAGGGATTGGGTCACGGTGTTACAGGATGCTTCACTCATTGTCAATGAGACATTTATAAACTCGAATAACATAAATAAACATTTATAAACCAAACGCTTATACATACTTGAACTGCCCAGGTGCGTCCGCTATGCTGTCTCACTCCGTACAGCACATGGGGATCCAGGGTGCATTGGCCCCACACCTCGGTACCCCCCGTCCCCNCCCCCCTATCGATTAGAGTGTGGCCGCCGCAAAACGTCGCGCAGCGCGATCCACATTCCGCCGACCACCAAACAAACAACATCACGAAAACAACAAGTCAGCAATCTTTTTCTCCAGCAAACAACCGCACACGTTTCCCAAAAAACAGAGCGCCTTCTTTTCAAGACACACACACACACACACATACACACAATCGAAGCCGAAATCATGGACTCGTCGCACCGTAAAATCGAACTCCAATCCCCCTCCGACCTCACCTACCTCACCTCCCAAATCCGCACCGCCGCCCGCCAAAAACTCGACCTGCACCTACCTCCCGTCACCTCGTCAACCGCCGAACCCGACGACCTGCGCCGCAGCGTCGAAGACCTCGTCGACGCGTTTGTCGCCCAAGTACTACGCGGCATGCGGCAAAACATTAGCATAAACGGGATTGACATCATCAGCGGCGCCGACGGCACCTTTGCCGAATCCGCCATGCAAGGTCTAGCAGAAGAAGAAGACGAAGAAACAAGCCAAGTCGAACGCGAAGAATTCGAAGCCTTTGACGAGAAGCTGCGCTCGAAACTGGGAGATGCGGTCGCGAGGCGCGATGCGCTTATTGCACGGATTAGTCAGCATAGGAGGGCGACGCCGGCGGGCGCGGCCAAGGCGTTTGAAGAGAGGTTTGCGACCGAGGAGCTCGAGGCCGAGGCCGCGTGGGCCCGCGTTGAGGAGAGGGTTGGCGAGGTAGAGGTGGCGGCCGTGGAGAGCGGGGTTAGGCAGGATGAGGTGCAGAGGAATTGGGAGAGGGCGGTGGAGGGCTTGCAGGCCTTGAATAAGGCGTTGCCTGAGACGAGGGCGAGGTTGGAGAGGGCGGGGGATGTGGTGGGGTATTTGGGGGGGAAGTAAAAAGGGACCCGTGTGCTTTGTTGTTGTTGTTGTTGTTGTTTTTCTTCTTCTTTTATTTCAAGGAAGCATTATTGGCGTTTTTGATGATGGATTTTTTGAGGATACCCGGCTTGTGTACTCTACACATTGGAAATTTTTGTCCTTTTTCCCTTTTCCTTGAAACATGTATAACTCTGAGAGAGTTTTTTTTTTAAAAAAATATATATATACATATACTCGAACCCCCGATTTCCCTTTGAACTTGATCCCCCCAAGCGTGGCCCATGGAACTTTCAAAACCGACTTATATCCCTCCCAAAGACCCAATTCACCACCCAATACACCGGCACAAGCACTTTATTCCGCAAACTCACCGTCCGCGTAATATACGCTCCGCGCCAAATAATCCACGCTACGTACCCTTGCAATCTGCCGCCCCACTTGCCGCCGCCTTGGAAGAGCGCATTCCAATTCCCAATGTACGCCAGGGTGCCCAGATCGCGGTACGTGAAGCCCTTTGGTGAATCTGCCAAGGTTGACGATTTATTCAGCTGTTTAGCGAGCCACACTGCTTTCTGACTCGCAACTTGCGCTGTGGCTGGGTAGTTTGTAGCGTCAATTGTGCCGCAGTCGCCCAGGGCGAAGACGTCTGGGTGTATAGCTTCTGTTTTGTCTGCTGTTGCTGCTTCTGTAGAGTCCTTGTCCGCAGGTGAAGAAGAAGATGATGATGATGATGATGAGGCCGGAACGAGTTTAACGCGGAGATGGGAGTCCGTTATGATGGAACCGGATTTTGCGTCTTTTTTCACGGTCCATTGGATGGAAGAGGGTGAGGGAGAGGAAGAAGGGGTTATGAGGTTCGAGGGGGCGGAGCGGACGCTGGAGAGAGCGGTGTGGACGAAGGGGTTTTGCATTAAGCCTGTGCCTGTTGGGGGAGGGAAGGGGTTTTTGAGAGAGAGGGTGGAAGGAAGGAAGGACGTACTCCATACACACATGCCCACACCGATTTCGCCTTGTTCTTTGACCTTGAGAGTGTAGAGGTGCGAGTCTTGGACTGTTTCTGAATTACTTGTTTCCACAGGTGCTCCAGCACGCAGCTCCTCGACGTGATGACTCGTTTTGATGTCAATGCCCTCGCGCTTGAACTTTTGCATGGCGTAGTCGGCTAGTTTCTTGTCGAACATGGGGAGAACCTTTTCTGCTACATCGTACACAGTGATCTTGTGGTACTGGATGAGTTCTGGGTATAGCTTCTTCAAGTCTTCATTGATCAGGTCGTGGAGTTCCGCGCTAAACTCGATGCCTGTTGGTCCGCCGCCTACGACAGCAAAGTTTAGCAGTTGACGCTTCATGTCCACGGGCGTGGTAGGGAGAGCAGCGCCTTCGAAGCAGGCTAGGATGCGGTTTCGGATTCTGCGTGCGTCACCCACGTCTTTCAGGAAGAAGGCGTGCTCCTTGACGCCCGGTGTGCCAAATGTCTGGCTATAGCAGCCCACGGTAACAATCAACTTGTCGTAGTTCACATCGAACATTTTTCCCTCTTTGGTCTCCTGCTTTTTCTCAAGAGCTCTCTGCTCTGCGGATTTTCCCGCGTGTCGGTCAGTCGTCAGCGCCACACCTTGCTTTGGATCATCGACTGCTTCTTCTATAGTAATGGTCCGATTCTTGAAATCCACATCATCAGCCCAGCCCTGCAGAAATTCCACTTTGGTTCTTCGGCTCCGGACAGGTTCTAGTGCAGTTCTGAATTCCAGTGTGCCTACTGCTGTAGAGGCAAGTAGAGGGGTAAAGGCAAAGTATGACCGGGGAGAAACGACAACAGTTTGATACTTTGAGGGATCAAGAGCGCGGGCGACAGTGAAGCCTGCCCAGCCTGACCCTAGTATGACTACACGTTCTCGGCCTAGATGTATGTTTGTCAGCCTCGATGACCGGAGTAGATAGTTGTAATGTAAGAGCGATTGATGCATACTGTCTTTGTCTTGGTTCAATTGCTCCATCGTAATCTGCCTTTTCTGCTCCGAACTCTTTCCACTTACCAGAGCACCACCAGCACGACATGATGATGCTACTCGTAAGACACCCGTTCTCGAGCTTACAGAAACTAGTTCCCTGACGCCAGAAGGCAATTGGGACAGGCGACTAGACAACATGATTGTCACAATAGCAAGATGTTTGATCTGGCTCAAAACGGAGAATTTTGGGCATAATCTCTTAGTACATTGAGCATTTTCACTTTTTTGAAATTTATTTAGGGGCCGTCTTGGACCAAGGAACCAAGGACCGGGTACTTGCGGGTACGACGCGGAAGTCGGCGACTATGACGTACCGCTGGTGCAAACTTGACGCGCCGAGCTACTACCGATATGCGACGATTAATACGAGAGTTCTACGTGCCCTTCTCAGACAAGAAAAGGACATGATAGTTGTACAAGACAAGAATGGTTTTAGATCTAACGTCTCTCGAGGATGGTCCATTACAGAAGCAAGGTATGAAATGCCGCACCGAAAAGTGGCTACCTTGACACTCTCCCGGCTTCTGCATTGCCAGACAGGGTGAACACATGTTCTTAATTGTGGCTGAGATTTCACAAAACGAGACCAACGTGATAGCATGGTTTCGTTGTTAATTGACCATGTGCAACCCTACAAGATTCACAACGAGGCACGCATACATGTGTTTGAGCAAATTTCATTCGTGTGGCCCAAGAGGATATCAAACTGCCATCGGGCAACAAAAAGGGGGTATCAAAGATGTAAAACTATGCACAGGAAAAAAAAGAAAGCCTCCTCGGGTTCCAGAACCTCTTCAACTCCAACACGAGAAATAGCGATGCAATCAAATTTCCCTAAAATGAAATCGTCCAAACCGACTCTAGATTTCTGCTTTCCTAGTCTTTGGGCTCTTTGTCGGTTGCGGGTTCGTCGAATCGCTGGTCCTAGCACGCTTCAATCTGACGGGACCAGATGCCATACTACTCGACCCACTTTGTCGATTAACCCGATTCTCTACTTCATGGGCACCGTCGACAGGACTGTTGAATCCACTTCCACCGCCTGCCGTCGCTGCTGAACTGCCAGCAGGTATCTCCTCAGCGAGGCGATCTGCAAGTGCGGCGTCGTATTCGCGCTCGCTTGCAATAACAGCATTGGGATTTTGCAGGCGAGCAGTGGCCAGCAGATCAACGCTGCCATCGTCGCTATCTTCGTAATCAGAGTCTGACGCTTCAGATTCATCCGAGCGGACAGGCGCAATATTGAGAATTTGCATAGCTGTAGCCGGGCAATCGGAATCAGATTCGGGTTCAGACGAAGCGTCGGATGCAAATTCGGAATCGATATCGCCTGAGGAACAAGAGTCGAGAGGAAGGAAGGATGCAGGCGGTAGAGTCGAGCTGGGCAGATCCTTGCGTGATGCAGAAAGAATCTTCTCATGAATAACACGCTGGGGACTGGATCGTGGAGACTCGGTTTCCATTGAATCATGCTCGGAACGGAGCGCATCTTGAATGGGCTTGGGGTAAAAGCTGGTTCGGTGGCGAGCGGCGACGTGGGACGGTACTGTTGGTATTTGCGAGCGACGAACATGGATGGAGAAGTTGTCCTCCGGCTGTACTCCACCAATACCAGAAGCCTCAAAGTCCATGAGCTCAGGACTGTTGTTGCCACTGGTACCCCTCAGGGCTTCTGGGGAAAAGCTTATGTTGTCTCCACTAGAGACGGTGCGTGAACCGTTGTTTGACTCAGTCTCCATCATCAGGGTATCCAAGGAGCCTCGTGACTCAGAAAGTTCGGTGACAGCATTGTCCAGGGATGAAGAGCTCAACTTTGCGCCCAGAGGCTGGTTGGTAATAGGTTGGTAATTACCGGGCATCGTGAGAAACGCCCCGTTGTTGTCACCACTAAGGTCAGTACAGAACTTGGCTTTGTTGTAGAAAATCATGGGTCCGTTCTCACGCCTTCTTGGCCTGGAAGAAGAGCTCTGCATAACCGAGCTGCTGAGTCCCGAAGAGTTGCCCGTCTGTTGCGGCTGATGAGAATAATTTACCGAGGAATCAGCATCGAAGCCGTAGAAGTCATCCTCGTTGTCGGAATCTTCCTTGTGGAAGAATAGTGGCTTGTAAGCAAACTTGTTCTGTTCTCTCTCGCGCTGATAGCGGGCCAATCGCCTTGCCTGCTCAGAGCCAGTGGGATCACTGCCGCTGCCGCTATTTCCAGTCTTCATGCGCTTGAAGGGCGAGAAAGATCCTGTCTCGTTGGGTGAGGCGTTACTGTAATGCTCCGATGAACTTTCGCCACTGTGTTGCGTGACCTCGCGACCGCCCTTCCATCGAACCTTGCGTCCATCGCGAGAAATCTCAATGTGGCTGCTATAATCCTGGAGGGCATCCTTGACAAACTCGGGAGTAACATTGAGGGTGTGTAGTTGTGCCATGTTGATAAGCAAGTTGAGATATATCCAACCATGGCCAAGTGGGGCTTCTCCAGTATTCATATCGGGTGGGCTGAAACCGAGGTGCCGGATGTAACTCATGTTCTCGTTTGGTATCTGCGCGCGATAAGGGTCCAAGTCTAGTGGACGGGTGGGTCGTTGATCAGGAGAAGAGCCTGAGCCAGCGAAGTCATGTTCCTCAATGTGCAGAGCGGGTCGCAGTCCTTGGACGGCCACGTTCTGATTCACATCGTCTTCATCAGCTACGCCACGGCCAGACATGATGCGAGCTTCACGCTGGCCTTCTGGTCTGAAATGCTGGCCAGTCGCTTCCCGTTGCTCGCGATCTGCCGTTGCTGCTGATTGGGCAACCTCTTGCTGTTGCATTGGCTGCGGATGCGATCCTGGCACTGATCGCTTTCCAGCAAATATTTGCTCCAAGCGCCGAACGATCATTTTCTTTTTCGACTTCTCGGTCATTGGAACACTTTTGGTATTCGGCATCAAACCCATTGGGATGTCATGAAGGTATGATTGAATGCTCTGTTGCTGGCGGCTGTATGCTGACCGGGTCATCTTACGATCCTTTTCTTGGTTTGAGGCTCCTGCCGAGTTTTGACCAGATGTTGACAAGGACGCATAGCCAGACTCGGCAAACCGTGATGTTGACGAAGAGGTGTTGTGGGTCTCGAGTACTGGGGTATAGGCCGTCGACACGCGCACGTAATCGTGGGTGGTTCCGTCATCGAGCTCAGAAGCAAATTTGCGCAGTGTCTCTTCCAACTCTTTCTTCTTGTGATCAGGTAGACCGTGGAACCTGACTTCGAATAGCTTCTCGTCCTGCAGATGAGCATCGTAGAGCTTCTCGTACTTCTTGAGCCTCTGTTTGAGGCGCTTGTTTGCCACGGTTAGGTCGTCGATGACGCTTCGGAAATCTTCGGTACTGCTGCCGTCGGTACCCAGATGACCTAAGCCAGGACGGTATGGCATTGCTGAGTTTGTAGTATTGGAATGTGGGTGGTCGGGTGGTGTCTCCGAGGAAGAGGAGTTGCGGAGGAAAAAAGGCGGCTCATCTATAGTGTGACGATTAGCAGTGCTCCATCGACTCGAGGACTCAGACACAACCCACTGTCAACAAAACTAGACTTGCTCTGTTTGGCTGTGTTGTTCGTCTTCTCAAACCATTGTCCGGCGTCACTGCTCTCTCCCGAGCTATTCTTAAGCGAGGTGAGCTGCGGCGACACACTCGACGGTGGGTTGGCCTTGTCGCTGGCTAGGGTTGGGGAGCTGCGGCTGGTATTCCGTTCCTTGGGTTGTGCGCCCGATGCAGAGGCTGGAGGGCTGTGTCGGAGGGAGACGGACTTGTGGGCGGGGGGGCGACGAGGGTGGTTCATGATAGGCTTGGGTATGGTGCCTGGAGGGTCGTCCATGGCTGCTGGCGTGATATGTCGAGTTATTGGTAGAGGACGTTCTCCATATGCGCAAGAGGGCGGTCGATATAGGAATGCAGACGGGTGCTGGAATGTGGGGATTGGGGATTGAACGCCACCCGGGTGGGCAAGGTGTGAGAGGGCAGGTAAGGTCGTGGACGGCGGTCGAAAACGATGGGGGGATTGTGCAGCAGAGATCCGGGAGGTGGGTTTGTCGGGGACAGGTGGTGGTGGACAGAGGGAGCGGGCTGAGGGCGTGGAGGATGGAGGCTGTGGGTGAAGCAGATGGTCTGAAGAGGCGGTTCTTGGGCTCTCTGAATCCGGAGCCATGATGATTATCGATCTGGCTGTGGGTAAGGATGGCGATGTGCTCGATTCCCACGACGCCAAGAAAGGTCATGGAGATCGAGGTGCCTGGAAGAGAACGAAGACATGGTGTAGCGCGCCCGGGGCTAGGCCAAGCGATCCATCGACGATGAGCCTCGTCGGTTCACCTGTCTATCGCCCGGATTGGACCCTATCGTAAATGCGACATAAGAGAAGGCCCTGTCTGTTGTCTGACCCCCGATGCCTCTCTGAATCGGTGATCACGGACAAGGGTCCCGCTATGCCCCATGCGGCATAACGCCCTGCTTCTTTCACTCTCCACACGCTAGCTCTACTTTCTCTGCTCTATGGACACACAGCCTCTCCCACTGCCGGCAGTGCGACCTTCCAGACGCATCCTGTCCTCCGTTTGGACCCATCGCGACTCGACTTGACTCGACTCAACGGGCGGTGCGACCCGTCGTCGACATAGCACTAGGTGTACCCGCCTCGCACAACGCCATCGAGATTGCTCTCGTTTTGCCCTGGCCCGTTCCAGCCCCAGCCCCAGCCCCAGCCTCTCAGCGCGCCCGTGCCGGAGATGATGATGTTTTTTTTCTTACCGTGGGTTACTGGACCCTGATTCTGTTGGCGTGATGATGCGCCTAGCGTGGCCCACGGAGCTGCTCGATCGAACTGATTGTGACCATCGCTGCTAGCATCCCACCCGACAAGACCCTGAGCTGAAAGAGGTCCGACTAGACCTCTCGCCACCGCGTCATTGGCCGTTCATGCCAGTCGTCAGCAGTCACTTGATGTCAAGTAGTACCTACAAGTACTCCTCTGTACTCTACTTTACATCTGTACGTCCATGAGGCCCTAGACTGCGCCATTCTCTTCAGCCTGCAAACCGACGCCAGCTTCAAGTGGAGCCTTGCTATTTGCCGTACCTATCTCAACCCCAGCCAGTATTGTGTTGTTCTACTAAGACGTCATGTGCTGCTGTGTTCTGCTCAAGTCGCCCGTGAAGCTCGGATGGCACACGCTTCCAGCAAACTCCGGCAAGGTCAAGGCGCCGGGAAAAATTTCCGGGCGAACCATGCAACACAGTAGTGAGCTGGTAAGGTTTGATTGATGACTGCACCGTTCAAACTGCTACGTAGTCCATCGGCGATGTCCACTCCAACCCCCGCCTCATCGTACGATCTTTGTAACACTCAGAGTCGTAATCGAGATCCCTCCTCTATGACCTCGTCGCCTATTCTGGCTCCGTGGAGCGGATGCGCCTACATACTATACATACTATTACACAATCAAAATATAAAAAAAATCTGGCACTGGATGAGGAGGCAGATCAGGCCTAGACACGAGCTCCCTTACTCCGAAGTACATTGATGGCAGAATGGCCCGTGTAGTTGAGCCATTCTCCCAGACTGCCCATGAAGCCACCGACTTTCATCAGATCCTGCAGTCTGTTGTCTAGAAACTGCTCAGTCTCTACAAAATTATGCGACTTGTCCTGTGTCATGTACAGCTCTGTCGTCGAGTAGATTGCCGAGAGGGTTGCTCGTTTCGTGTACCAGCTACTATCGACACTCTGGTCGCCTGACAGAAACCATATTTCGTCTGCGAGCTTGGCCAGTTCGGTGATGGAAGCAGGAACGTACGTGGGCTGGGACATTATTGCCAGTGCCTGTAAAGCGTTAGCCAATTGTCTGCGAAAGTGCACCATGATAGCCGTACCTCTTGCCAACGGTGGATAATGGGTGCATTTGCGCGGAGCCGTGCGAGCGTTAACGTCCTGACCTTGGCGCCGGCCCCCATCTTCTTCCCGTGTTCGCCCTCTTCGGGGAATTGGACATTGCTTTGCAAAGCCAATCGCTGAGTGACGAGATGGTAATTGATCAGTTCAAAGACGCCTCGTGGAAGTAAATTTGTGGAGACGTCGAGGTAGCCAGCATCTCGAGCGCCCAGCTTAAGTGCATCCATGGTGAAGCCATGGTTTGGTACGTGTGCGTATGCAGACGCAAGAATCGCCGTTTCGGCGGGGGGAAATGGTGGCGGCGAGGGGTAATCATATGAGTGATACAGGCATCGCTGTCGCCATGTTGCGGCTGGGCGAATTGAGGCTGCTCGGCACGTTCCGAACAACGAAGTGGCCAGGCGTGAGGGTGCCATGGTGGTGGAATCTGGAATTGAGAAAGTTCAGATCAGCCGATAGCCAAAGACGATGGCCACTCGACCAATCTGCCAAGACCGCAATCGATCACATCTCGCACTAACGGCGGTCCATGGCGCGCTGACAGACAGTTCGCAACCATACATAGGCGGGCACACAAGCGCACGCATCGGAGACAGCATGATCCGCTCCTCGCTAGATCCCGCCGTTGCACGCCCACACCCGCATTAGAGAGACTTGGCCACTCCATTGGCTTTCTCAAGGCTGAAGGCTGAATCTAGATGATGCACGCGCCAGCACGTGACTGACGCGTCCACCGCGTCTACGCTAGTGGCAATGACGCTGCCCTCGTCCTGCACTGCGGGAAGACTTCGCCCCTCGATATTCAGGAACACATCGGACGTCCCGCAAATCTCGGAGGCGACAGTCAATCCCCGACGCGATTCGTCTGTCACCTTGTTCACATCCCCATCGTAATCCACAGTATCCATCACTGTCGCTCGCAACAGCGCCCCGATCCCCGACGAATCAGTCCTTTCCTTCGTATCGCATCATATCGCATCGCATTATAGAAAGAAGACCGCGATGGCGCGCGGGAAAAATGTTGAGGTCAGCGAGTATGAGCGCAAGAGACAGGAAAACATTGCAAAGACACAGGCGCTCCTGCGCAACCTCGAGATGGAGGCTGCGCAAGCAGGCCTAGGGCCTACAGCCAAGGCGAAGGCATCTGTGCCATCGAGGCCAAAGACCAAGAAGCCAGCGCCCAAAAAGATCAAGGAAGAGGAGACTGCGCCGCGTCGAACTTCGTCACGGCTAAGGGGCATCGTGGCCGACAGTGAGGTCGCGAAGCGCAAAGCAGAGGATGAATACGCTGCCATAAAAGAGGCTGATCGTGCAAAGAGACAGCGCATTAGTGATGCATACAACTTCAGTGACATTGTGGTCGCCGGCAAGGACTGGGACAAGAGCGGCAATTTTCTCTCTGTTGGGCCAGCAGACCCATATGCGCGCACTTTTGATTACAACGACGTAAAGGAAACAACGGACAAAGAGCTAAGGGCGCTTCGAGAGCGCATGAGTGGGCTGCAGCTTTGGGAGGACTTTGAGCCTAATGAGATCAAAATCACTCCCGAGCGCATCTACTCTATGGGACTGCATCCCACCACAGACAAACCTCTTGTATTTGCTGGCGATAAACTTGGAAATCTCGGCATATGTGACGCTTCCCAGAAAGCCGCCGAGGTGAAGGTGGAAGACGATGAGGATACGGACAGAGAAGGGCCTACCATTACGACCTTGAAGCCGCATACACGGACAATACACACGTTCCAATTCAGTCCTCACGATGCCAACACACTATACTCTGCTTCGTATGATTCGACGGTACGAAAGTTGGATCTTGCAAAAGGGGTTGCTATTGAAGTTTATTCACCCTCGGATGCAAACGAAGAAGCACCGCTCTCTGGGCTCGAGATCTCCAAGGACGGTCCGAACACGCTGTATTTTTCCACGCTCGACGGCCAGTTCGGCATATACGACATGCGTACGCCGTCTGAAAAGGCAGCGGGACTACAAGTCTTCCAGTTGTCGGACAAGAAGATTGGCGGCTTCACTCTACATCCTCTACACCCACATCTTGTAGCCACAGCCTCTCTAGACCGTACATTGAAGATTTGGGATCTGCGCAAAATCACAGGCAAGGGGGATGATCGCTTACCGACCCTTGTTGGCGAGCATACCAGCAAGCTATCCGTCTCACACGCCGCGTGGAACTCTGTTGGTCAGGTGGCCACGGCTTCATACGATGACACTATTAAAATCCATGATTTCGGGAACTGTGCTCACTGGAAGGCCGGGACGACGCTGGAAGAGGCCGAGATGGAGCCTACGGTTATTGTGCCGCACAACAACCAGACTGGGCGATGGGTTACAATGTTTGTCGGCCCACATATGCAATACCTGCGAACCATTATGCTAACTACGTGTGTAGATTACGAGCGCAGTGGCAGCAGCTTCCCCAGGATAATGTGCAGCGCTTCTGCATTGGCAATATGAACCGCTTCGTGGACATTTACACGGCAAAGGGCGAACAGCTGGCGCAACTGGGAGGGGATGGTATTACAGCAGTACCGTCTGTTGCAAAGTTCCATCCTACGCTTGACTGGGTGGCAGCTGGAACAGCAAGTGGTAAGCTCTGTCTGTGGATGTAGTAGCAGTCTCAAGGCATTCTATTCTATTGTTGGAAGTTGGGCGCAAAACATTCACCGCTGCTCGCTCCTTCTAGTGTGTTCCCATATCATGGTTCATGCAAGAGGCGGTTGTAGGCTATTGAAACGCACGGGTGCAGCCATGCGAGCCGTCTGTCAAGCTTTTGGTGTTAGTTGAGCGGCCAAATTAAGCAGTTTCTCCATATTGACTGACAGGGGTCACATGTCATGCGCTCTTTAACCACTACATAGTACACGCCTTGCTTGCGATGTGGCATGACAAAAACGGTCCTGTTATTTTGCGCTTCCAAAGGACCCGCTCCGGACATGGTCGGAGTTGCTAACAAGAACGCTTCGTACGAGGGCCAGACGGTGGCGGTCTTATGCCAGAAACAACCATGGCAGGTGACGTTGCTAGTAATGCCCAAAGGGGTGGCAATCAACGTTACCCCAGAGAGGCGCAGGGTCCCGCAAGTGCAATACGAGGGCTTACATAGACGAAAGGCAACTCACTATCGCATGCAAGTACAGTTTATCTGCGGACATGGCAACAGTAGCCCGACGGGTGTGGCACATCCCGGAGAGTGGGGAACGGTATGACGATGGTCTGGTCGTGAATTTGTTCCACCAATTTCGATGATTGCACAGGAATGTCGCCGCATATGCTGATCGGTTCACAACTCCCAGCTAGCACAAACGCGTCGATAGCTGCTAGTGATATCACCGGCATTCGGACCAAAATAGCAAAGACGATGAACAAGGGAGTTGCTAGGGGGACACCGTCTTCTCGGGATGCAAAATCCCCGTCCAGGACTGCCTGGCAAGCGAAAGCAACCATCGCAAACCAACTGGTACCCAATGGTATCATACGGTAACAGTGGTAGAGAGGTATCTCACCGGGAGTCGACGGCGTGAGGCTGCTTGTCGTTGCATCGTCGCATGACTTGATGAACATTGTACTAGCCAACACGAGAAGATCACCATCACCGTCGCTCGTGTTCGGATGCGAAGGGTCGGGTACGACGGTTATTCGGGGCCATCTCAATACAACACGGCGGGTAGCCCCACTGAATTCGCTCTATCCTTGTGCTAGCGTTGGTTGATCTTCACCCAAGTCGTTGGTGGAATGAGCTTAGCCTGTCGCGTGTGACCAGGGTTCCTCTCCCAGAGACAGGGCTGTGCGCTCTGGATAGGTGCGCAAGCGACTCCGCATACACGCAAGACGGCTCGATGCGATGACGAAAGGTCATGTCGCATGGTCCCGCTTGTGTGCACATAAAGAGACATCGACGACACCTCCAACAGGACCATCGGCTCAACTCTACCACTTCACAACACCTCAACTCTAATACCTAATTCACCTGTTTGCCTCGAGACTTTCAAACACCAATACCATCAAGATGAAGTACACCACTGCTCTCGCCTCTCTCTTCGCTGCCGCCATGGCAGCCCCTACCGCTGTTCAGCCTGTTGCCAGGCAAGCAGACGCCAGCCCCTACTTCACCGTCATCTCCTCGCGCAGCGGCTCTCCCATCCACTTCCAGAACATGAACGCTCGCGGCGGATCCTTCTACCTTGGCGGAGAGGGACCTTCTTCCTACTGCCCATCAGAGTCCATTGGCGCTGAGAACTGCCCACCAGGCAACACCACCACATTCGCTGGTGGCAACGACACTCTCAGCCTCGGTGTCGTTGTTCCTGGTGGCCAGCAGGTCTACGTCGGCCCTGACGGTTCCCTGAGCTACACCACCGCTCACTCTGCCTACATCCCCCCTGGCTCCACCGTCACCGGCTTCAGCCGCACCCCAGCTCCCAACAGCGACCTGTTCGGCTACCTGAACTGGGACTGCGGCTTCCTTGCCTGCCCCGGCTCTGAGGAGGATGGATGGAAGGTCTACGGCAACCTCGACAACGTCACCTTCAGCGACGACTGCCTGTCATTCAGCGCTATTGCCTGTAAGTTTGAACCACATTTTACTCTACTCTTTTTGGTACATGCAGATTACTAACGTTTATGATAGCTCCCGTCGATGCCCCTGGTGCCTGGCAATACTAGATGCCCTTGTGACTCGTATTCAAACCAAAAGTTCATATACAACGAGCGAGTTGTATCATAGATGCATTTACATAATTGGTAATTTTACGGGGGGATGGACATGGCTACGGTGTATATATAACGCTCCTTAATGACTTGTACATGGCAGTCGTATAATGATAATTATATTAAGAATTGGCAAGACTTGTTCGCTTTTTGAATCTGTTCCGCGATACCAGTGATTGTTTTTCTTTTACCATTAGACTGTTGGACTCATTTTGTTGCTAACCCAAAAGAAGAATACGGTCTCTATGTTGCAGCAACTCTTTGTAGCATAACTTTTATCCTTTGGACGTGTTCTTCAGGCGCTTCCAAGAGACTTGTCCGAATAGCCACCGTCTTATCCCTGCTCTTCATACCCTTGATAACCTCGACATCAGACTTTGGTACTCCAAGCGCACCGGCAACGACTCGCCTCACAGCTTTGTTGGCCTCGCCGTCTCTTGTCTGGGCTGCAACACATAGCTGGATGCGCTCGTCTGAAATGGCAGCAATGCCCTCGCGATTCGCACTGACACCAGGCTTCACATGACAGAGTAATTGAATTGTGCCCGTACTTGGCTTGGCCGCCACTGCAGCGACAAAGCGGATAGCCTGACCGGACATTTTGGCGATAGTGGATATAAGGGTATTGGCAATTATGCAATCGGTGTACAACAGAGGTCAGGTGTGCGAGGCTGCAGCCGGGCGAAGATAACGGCCAGGGCGGCGGCGGCGGCTGAGTGTGAGGGTGGAAATGGGGCGCAAAGCCGACTGCACCCGCCGTTTCCCAGCAAGGATTAGGCCAATGCATCCCACTCTGCTGTGCCCGCAACATGGCACCCCGTCCCGTCTGCTGGCCGCTCAATTGCCCTACACCAACATATACAAGTACCTATCTACAACATACACACACGATATGCTCCATTGCGAATCTCGAGCGCCTTTGCGTCTCCCCGGCCTCCTCGCCCTCTGCAAAGTGATCAAGCGTGCCACCTACCTAATGCGACATGGCTTGCCTCGGCCTTCTTGCTTAGTAGTGGGCCCGCTCCATCTGTTACCAGACCTTCCGGGCCCGACTACTTCCCCTAAGTGATAAATTTGACGAGAGCCTCAAGTTGCTCTTCCCCTAAGTACAGGTGTACACGATGGCCACGAAAAATCAGCGACACCTAATTACCTAACAACCGAGACCCGTGCCAGAGATAAAAAGGGCGCCCCGCGTCTGCCCTGCTTTGATCTTGTGTTATCTTCGCATCTCGTGGTTTCCTTTTTTTTATTATCTTAATCTTGTTGATTAGAACCTGAGTCTTGGTGGAGGCGTCTTGTGTACTTGGACAGCTATCTGAGCATCTTTTTGAATTAAATCCCACCATATATTACATCCTGCCGTACTAAAGCAAGTCGACGTTAGGTAAGAGCTCCATGATGCTGCGTTTAGGCCGTGGTCTTGTTTTATCTCTTTTCCCTTCTTTTCTTTTGGCAAGCTGGTGTCCGAGTCGCACTTCCGCAACGAGGAACATCGAACAGCAAACATTCTGCACGCTCAACTCATCTGCACGAAACACTGTGGACGACCATATTAACGTACCTTTTCAGTAAAAAAAATGACTTCTGCACCAACAAAACAGCCCAACTTCCTGCCTAGCCGACATGAGCTGGGTATCGTCGCAGTCGGCTTCAGCGGGGGTCAGGTAAGACTCCCAACAATCTCCCACACACACACACACACACACACACACACACACACACACACACACACTGTGCTAGTAGCTAATAATTCCATGTCCAGCCCAAAGCTGGCGTCGATGCCGCACCCATGGCCCTCATCGAAAACGGCCTCATCAAGCAGCTAGAAGAAGACCTGGAGTACAACGTGACCTACGACGGCCAGGTACACAACTACTCTGAGCTCCAACCAACCGAGGACCCTGACTACCGGGGCATGAAGCGCCCCAAGTTCGCCAGCGCCGTGACGCGCGAAGTCAGCAACCAAGTGTACAAGCACGCCAAAGATGGCAAGCTGGTCCTCACCCTCGGCGGCGACCACTCCATCGCCATCGGCACCATTTCCGGCACTGCAAAGGCCGTCCGCGAACGCCTCGGCAGGGAAATCGCAGTCATCTGGGTCGATGCGCATGCCGACATCAACACACCCGAGACGTCTGACAGCGGCAATATCCACGGCATGCCTGTCTCTTTCCTCACGGGCCTTGCGACCGAAGACCGCGAAGACGTTTTCGGATGGATCAAGGAGGAGCACCGACTTAGCTTGAAGAAGCTCGTCTACATCGGTCTGAGGGATATTGACAAGGGAGAGAAGAAGATTCTGAGGGAGCATGGTGTCAAGGCGTTTTCTATGCATGATATTGACAGGTAAATTTCTTTCTTTTTTTTCCCTTGTTCGTTGGCATCGGACTTTGGCGTTGAAATTCAGTGTGGCTAATACATATCTCTTTTTGTACAGGCACGGCATCGGTAAGGTTATGGATATGGCCCTGGGCTGGATCGGAAGCGACACTCCCATCCATCTCTCCTTTGACGTCGACGCCCTCGACCCCATGTGGGCGCCCAGCACCGGCACGCCTGTCCGTGGCGGTCTTACGCTGCGAGAAGGCGACTTCATTGCTGAGTGTGTTGCTGAGACGGGTTCGCTTATTGCGCTGGACCTTGTCGAGGTTAACCCTAGCCTTGATGCTGAGGGTGCGGGCGACACAGTGCGTGCCGGTGTGTCGATTGTGAGGTGTGCGCTTGGTGATACGCTCTTGTGAGCTATGAGAGATGTGGTCGTTACGAGGTCATGTACGATGGCGTTTTGGCGTCAATTTTCTTAACGGAATTTCGGTATAGAAGGCGGGGGTTTATGTCTCTTTACTAGAACAGAGTCTTCAAGATGAGATGGTTTGAGGTACATCACCTAGATCAATGTCTTCCTCTTCACGAATATTGCTGCTCATCTTTGGGTGAGAGGTGTATGTGTCTTCCATTACTTGCACTCTGCGATGTTGGGGTTGCATAATGACTTGTGTTGTTGTGTCTGAGAGAAAAAAAAAGCAGGCATGTCATTTTACAGCACCGACGACGTGCTTTTACAGTTCGATCTGGTATTACAATGTACGGGTTGCGTGAGACGGGTATTAACGACTGTAACAGGGTTCAAAGCGACGTCAAATGTCAGACTGAAGATTCCATCTTACTTTTCTTCCTCGAAAATTCAAACGACGGAATGATTGGAGATCAAAGTCTCTCATTGTTTTTTTGTTACTTGTAGCAATGTGTGTTTCTCACGCCACGTTCGAAGGTGCAGATGTAAGTAGGTTTGAAAGTAAATGCAAGTATGCACATGAGGGCACGTGTGTTTCTGTTATGCATATATACCTAGCCTCACTCCAGGCGATTTACATATATATGCGTGGTTCTTAGATCTTCGATGTGCATGCATGGGGTTTCAGAGGCTGTGGGCAAGTTGGAGTATTCTGGGGGGAAAGAACCAGTTGTTTGAGACAGCTTTTGCCTAGAGATCGAAATCTTGTGATCTCGAGAAGAGAAAAGAGAAAAGAAGTACATATCATGCATCAACAAGAATTGTTTAGCCGGTGGGATTGAAAATGTCACGGTGTATGTAGTTAACACGGCTCTCCATCAATCGTGCTACCATCGTTGATTCATGTCCAAGGCTTCAATTGGAAGGTGTTGTTAAAGATCTCATGGAAAACTCCACACGGCCAACGTCATAGCAAGGACGCGAGCTACTGCAACCCATGTTTCCAGTTGAAATTTATTGAGAGGGGAAGCGGCTAACCAGCAACGTTGAGCTGAAAAATTGGTGGCTTGCAGCTCGAAAGCGAAGAATACGATGGCACATCCAATCAGCGGTTCCAACTCCGAATCGATGCTTGTTGAACAGCAGCCTCACCCCCATCCCGCACAGCAAACAATAAAACTCTCTATCTAGCTGACTCACTCTTCGATCTCGATACTCACCAATTTTCCTAGCCTTCACACCCACTTCGAAAGTAAAGACCAATAAACAATGCATTTCCAACACGCGTTATCTCTACTCTTCGCCGTTACGGCACTCGCCTCGCTATCACCAGAGGCCAACAACAACCCCACTTTGGTCAACCGCGATAGCCTCCCTCTCGATAAACGGGCATGTAGCTATAACGGCTGCGCCTGTGTCAGCGGCCTCGCTGCAGGCGTCTATTGTGGCAACTGCGTCGTCGGCGCCGGCACGTATGCGATACGCACCAAGCGCATCAGTACCCACGCATACCAGTGCAACTCGAGCGGAGGGTGCTGCGACTACGGTGTTGCGAGCGATTGTGGGAAGAGCGGTGCGAGGTGCCGACAAGGTTCGCCGAATTGAGTGAAGAGCCTGTACATGAACAACTACCATACATGTGTTGAAATCGAGGAGGAAAGTCAATTGGAGTACGCAGGATGGTGTTTGTGACGAGGGAGGATCAAGGGGACCGGGGTACGTCTTCGTACTACCAACCCCCCCCCCAAAAAAAACACCCGATTAGCTAGAATCCAAGATACTACAACCACCTCCTCTCCCATCACACATGTGACATAAACCCTGTACCTGCGTCTGCCACAGCAACCCAAGACATTAACAGCGGAAAGTGTCTTCGACCCTCCAATCCCAGAAAACAAGGCCTGGTATAAGCACTAACCCTCCCCATTTCCGCGACCAAATCCCCAAAAAGCGGTAAGTCGCGTCTGTCCATCCGTCTTCTACGCCAACCCGGCAAAACAAAATAAAAAAAACCCCCTGCCGGAGGAGACGGGTTTCATTCCGCTCTGCAGTTAATTACTTATTAGCTAGATGGGGTAGACACTTACACCGCGGCCTTGCTACCGGCCACAGACAAACATCCAACTGCCGCTTCACATGAGCTATTATCGCTACATCGCTATATCCCCATGTATTTCAGACCGTAAACAAGCTAGAGTTCATATATGCAAGTCATACATACACAAATTATGCAAAACCCACC